TTCGAGTAGACATTGCTCAGCAGCCGTCGCGGTTAGAAAAATAGACAATTGCCTGATGTAGATACGGCTTGTTAGGTATTCTTTAGTTATTACCACAGTATACATTATACTGTGATAATAACTAAAGTACTTACAGCATTTTACTTTGGAGAAACATTATCAATCTTCATCCTCCAAGGAATAGCTATTCCAGCGTCATATCTGGGCCCCAAAATATCACTAACAAATTTATTGAAATAATTAAATAAAATCGAAATAAATGATTTTTCTTTCAAGACATAGATGTGCATGGTATGGAATCTGGTCAGTGACTTTTTTTCGAATCGGTAGTAGCAAAGAATAAATTATTAATACCGAGATAGAATTATCAGTGTCCTCGTGAGACAGCGCCATCTTTTGATACTTTACCGAACTACAGGTTCAGGTTGTATATAGCTATACTTTTAACCTTTTCAGTTTCAATTCAGTTTCTTTTTTCAGTTTTTAGATTTAAGAGCATTATTCAACTATAGTTTTCTATATAATGTATACGAAATTTATGTAATTTATTGATTTTGTATAGAAAACTGTAATTGGATAAAAGCTTGCTGGATGTAATTTTTGGAGAAAGTAAATAAAATACAGAAATATGTTTTGCGAATTTTATTTCGTTTTTATAATATCTTTGCATTTATAGTTATTTACGCCACATACATTGTATTTTCTGATAACTTAAGAGTCTTCTTCAGCCGCATTCCATAATATATAACATTATAACATCATAAATATTCTTTTTCACCTGCAACTTTTAGATAATCTATTTCAAATCCTGTATGTTATTCTTCAGCACTGAAATAAAAAGTTGCTCAAAAATTATACAGGCATTAAAAGAGATTTATCAGGGCTTATTCAACTACTTTTCAAAGTATGGATTACAGGTTTAAATTTATCAATAAGCCACCTATGCTCATATTAACTTGATATATCTATAAGAATAGCATTTTTTTTCTGCGTTTGACCATAACTTTCAAATGCAAAAGATAGTTTTACCTTTCTTGCTTGTTACAGTTTGATGTTTTAAAGTATTACATTGTATTGCTGAACTTTTCTCCGGTAAAATTGAATCTGAAAAATATGCCAGAGTTGGTAATTTCAATTTATAATATTGTCAGAAAAAATACACTACAAATAAGTAGTCGATAGTTAACAATTCATAGTTTTCTTTCAAATTAATAATATTTGTTTAATAAAGTACGATTTTCTCCAAAATAATATACATACATAAAATTTAAATTCTTTTTTTTTTATTACAAAGACAATTTTGTTTTTAATTTAATGTTACCATAGTTAAAAATTATTTTTCATTTAAAACGATGACACCTGTTTTTGATTGATGGAACTAAACGGAATGAGCAAGCACCAAACATTAATTATCAAATGTATGGACTGACAAGACCGAGGGTAGTAGTATTTTGACAATCATTCTAGGTTTCTGTTTTTTTTTTAAATATTTCCCTTACAAATTTTTTTTATAAATAAAACCGTGTTACATTGTGATTGCAAAAAGAAAACAATGAAAAAATTAATGTAATTATGCTCAATGTTCTTTAACATTCCATCACAATGTGACATGCTTTTATTTATAAAAAAAATTGGGTGTGATAAAAACGCAAAGATTTATTGCAATGTGTAAGGTTTTTTTAGTTTAATAAAAATGTTAATAGGTATATACATAATTACGTTACAATACTATGGGATTATTGTGACGTAGACGAATATGGGTAATTATGGTTAAAGGTTGCAATGTCGGTACCTATACGATATTTTTCTTATCAGGTTTAAATTTTTCTTCTTGTTTAATATTAACAAGAACATATTTATTATGTTTTATAGTTGTTTTTAAAAAGTTTTTTATATTCTTATAATTTTTTTAACATATTTGTCGACAACACCAACGAATTGTCACTTTCGTTAGCTCTAATGTAGCAACACTTACACGTTCTTTCTTTTTCTTTGCGAAGTTGTTAGAGACACGTGCGTCAATCACGCCGAAAACTCTAAAATAAGCAAAAATGAGTGAAGGAACGGCTACAATTCGTACTCGTAAATTCATGACCAACAGGTAAACATGATATATGTAAATATTCAGTGGAGAACGCTTGGTGATTTCACGTAAAATATCAGTCGCTGCCTCGCCATGTCAGGTTATGTGAGACAACTTTTGTGGATTTCAGGTTGTTGGCGCGCAAGCAGATGGTCTGCGATGTGTTACACCCAGGAAAACCAACCGTCAGCAAAACAGAAATCCGTGAGAAGCTCGCTAAAATGTATAAAGTGACTCCTGACGTAGTTTTCGTGTTCGGCTTCAAAACTAACTTTGGTGGCGGCAAGTCTACTGGATTTGCTTTAATCTACGATACATTGGACCTAGCCAAGAAGTTTGAGCCTAAACACAGACTTGCACGTCACGGTCTCTATGAAAAGAAGCGACCAACGCGCAAGCAACGCAAAGAACGCAAGAACAGAATGAAGAAGGTTCGTGGTACCAAGAAATCTAAAGTAGGTGCGGCCTCCAAGAAGTGATGTGATGGTTAGGACTGTAAGTAAATAAAAACTCCAAAAAAATTTGTAGTGTGTTTTTTAATTTGCCTCTAGTTTATTCTATATTAAATTTATTTCAGTTACTGCTTAATAAGAACTTTAAAATGGATAAAATATTTTAAAGGAAATATTTTTCTATATTTCAAAATCATTCCCTTGTGGGAAGTAGCTCTAATTGCGATAAAAGGTTGAGTTTGCAACTTAAAACCTATGCTTTGTAATTACAGCAAATTGTGCTGATGTAGTTACTGCATTTTGATTTATTTAATTACTCGCCAATACTTGCATGGCAAACCAAAAAAATATCCAAAGTAAAATTGTATACTAAGATTCACTGTAAAAAAATCAAATCAAGTGCAATACAGATTCGATAAAACTGTTGTTTTAATAAGCTGTATAACATCTTTATACATATTCCTTAAATCTTATAGGAGTATTCTTAGTGAACTTTGATTTTCGTAACACTTAAAAGAATTTATTATAAGTGCCACAAAAATAAAAGGAAAGTTTTATTTGTATTTTAAGTCTGTTTTGCCACACAAATTACATTGTTATTGTTCTTGCTACTTACCTGTAGCTATACATTTATGCTTGATATACAACTGTAGTTCATGGTTGAAGTCAAAAATTTTTTTTTTTTTTTTATACACCCACCATAGTGAAGGGTTTTTCCCTTTTAGAGATGTTTTACATAATTATATAAATTGTTCACGGACACACTGGAGCAAGTATCTGTAAGTCGTTTAAATACTTTTACTATATCTGAATCAAACCAAAGAACAATGAAGCCAGCAGCTTAGTAAGTAGAAAGCCCTAAAAATAACTTGATTAGTCACAATACTCAGAATTTTTGTACAAAAAGTGTGTTTTTATTTTTAATAGGCTCATAACATAAAAAAGAAAATGCAGGTCCAGGTGGCTTTTTGACTTTTCTTATTCCAATACTAGCTGACCCAGCAAATAGCAGCAATTTCCAAAAAGGTTGTCAACGCATGTGCGAACTCTCGGGTGTAGGAGATGTATATGGGTGGCGGTATTCACTTAACATCAGGTGAATAGTATGCTCGTTTGGCAATTTTTCACATAAAAAAAAATTGTTTTGCCATATAAATAATTTGTAGGGAATTTGAACACAAAACAAAATTTGCACAACTAAAATGTTTGACAGGTAGGAGTTACAGTTTGTATGGGAAAAGAAAATTGTCGCTATTTCCCATGCAATTTTACCATGATTTCACATTACTTAAACCTTCCCTGGACTGCCACAAATATTTCAAAACCAAAATTAACGAAATGGGTCCAGCCATTCTCGAGTTTTAGCGAGACTAACAAACAGCAATTCATTTTTATATATATAGATATATCCCAAATGCCGGGTCTATTTCAGGTTTTGAATCAAATAAGATTGTCTAGTACCTTTTAACCACATTACCATCAGAAAGCTTAAATGGCACAGACTTAGCATCTCATTTATAGGTAAAGGAAATCTGCCAGACTTGAGTAATTTTTATATGCTTTTGTCATGTTCTGAATTATTACTATAATAGGTTAATTTCTAATAATAGTTGACTAAACATAAAAAAAATTGTACAAATTAAATATTTTATTTTATTTAGAACATAATTAAACAACAGTAATCACATTTTTTTATACCTAAAAAGAAAGTAAAAATAGGTTAAAAAAGTAGTTGTAACAAAGATGGCTTTGTAATTAACGGTATAAGATTAAGGCGACAGCAAAACTATTTCCATGATTCATAGTGCAATCAGACCTTCATGCTTCTGCATCCTTTAGTTGTGCACATCATGAAGTAGAGATGTGTATCCTGATAAACCCACTAGCTAAAGTTTCTCTGGCTAGTCTTGTCGGTGTTGCTAAGCGTATTTGACATGTAGGCCTGCAAACCTTGCTGTGAGACCGGAAATGGTTCAGGTCGAGAAAAGCAGACTGACATACATGTGCTATCTAAGTCAAAGCGAAGGAGTAGCTGTGGCAGTGTTTCGATGGAAATCCCGTACATCAGGGTCGATGAGGACCAATCAACCATAACAGGATTTTGTAACTACACGAAAACTCTCATCCTATTAATTATTTTCAACTTCATCTTTAAGTTGAACATTTTTTTCTGACATGTCAGCCCTGGCTTAATTTCCTTCTTGCTGTCTTGTATAAATTGGTGATACGCCAGATCTCAATTTGGGTCTATTGTGGGTTTTGAGTTCGTGGCGACGTATCATCTTCCTGTAATTTTTTTATTAAAAAGTACATTTCACGATGGCGTACATTTGAAAAATTTTAATTTATCTTTATTGAATAATAGAATGGAAAAACATGCATGCACTAACCTTGTCGCAAAAGACTTGGCGCATGCACTGCAATTGAATGGTTTTGCATTTCTATGTTGCGTCGCTATATGGTTAAGTAAAGCCTGAAATAAATATTTATTATCAATAAAGTAACTAAGTATTTTACTTTCCTGTAAGCATTATTACAGTAGACACAAGAATTAACTTATAATAGCGACATTCAATATGTATCATACTCAGTGGGTATAATTCTCATTTGTCTAAAAAATCGCATTATAAGTTTCATAGTGAGTGCAGAGACTTAAATTAATCATAACAATTCAATGCTCTGTAAATTGATTATATCTAAATATAAAACTGATATTGTGAATTGAAAATAAAAACAATTTTCCTAGTAAAAGTGAAAAACAAATACGGCTAAATGAGTTACTTCTACTCCGTGGCGCAATTGCCAAAGAATGGGCTTCGACGCCGGGTCGTAGGTTTGATTCCCACGGGAGACATATTTGTGTGACACACAGATAATTGTTTCAGATCTTTGTGCTTGTCAACGTCAATTAGACAATTTAGTGAATTCATTTATTTAATAAATATAAATATTTTTAGGACACCTTTTTTTTAAAATTCGTTCTCTAGAAACACTTTTCAAAAGTAATCGGCCGGACGCAGTTTATGAACTGGGGGGGGGGGGGGGGGGCCTATTACACTACCGAGTCTGAACCTCCTGTGTGAATTTGGACACCTTTAGAAAGGCCACCCTGTATAAACACCTAGACACTAGAAAAACAATAAGTTTATCACTCAATAGTTTTCCAGTAGTTCGAACGCACACCCTCTGGCGCAGGAGGCAAGCACACTACCCACTACGCCATTCGGGTCATGAACAACCAAATGTTAAAAATTATCAGACATTCGCTTACCAACATCAATTACCTCTTTGAATTTGAATCCACGTTGGCACACGTCGCAATGGTACGCGGGCGGTAAATGTCTCCGGCGGTGCGAGGCTAAATTTGAGGCGTTGGGGAACGTAGCCGGGCATTCGGGACAGCGTAATGGGCGCTCGCCACTGTGCAGGCGGGAGTGGACGGCCAGCGCGTACTTCGTGCGGGCACGATAAGGACATTGAGGGCACTGATGCTGCAACTCCCCAGTGTGAATAAGCCTGACGGATTCAAATAATATACACCCGTGAGTCTCTCATAGGTCTCAATGAGCCGTGATAGCTCATTGTCCGCGCGCTCGCTTATAATTCAATAAACTTGAGCGACCTGAGTTCGATCCCCGGTGCCAGCACCAATGAAATTTTTAATTTTGCTGACTTAACATATGCTGATGGTGAAGGAAAAAATCATGAGGAAACCTGCATATTTTCGAAATAACCAACAAATAAATATTTCGAAGATATGTGAAGTCCACCAATCCGCAGTGGCTCTGGATGGTGGACTATGACCTAATACCCTCTATACATAGGAGGCCTTTGCCCAGTCGTGGGATATGTATAGGCTGCAACTTTACTTTTGACTTTTAAACACCTGCAAAAACAATGTTATTAATAAACTACCTATATTTTTGGATTATCCAAACTAAGCGACGCTTGTACTATGGGTATTAGATAACTGATAAACATACTTTTCTTTTGTAAATAAATACATATTATACATATATAAGGAGTATGTTCTAAGTGTATCCATTTTTTTTATTAAATTCTAGACAAATAATGTCATATAAAAAATGATAAATATTTAAAATCACTCGTAATTAATTAAATACATTCATTTGAACTTATCTCAAAAAGTGCGTGATTTATGGGCAACTCATTTATTTTACGAGTGATCATTCATAAATAACACGCACACTTTTCAAAAGTATACGACGCGTTTATGAATGACTACCGCATCGTCAACAAGTTCTGTTTTTAGGTAACCCATTCCGTTCCCAATTTTTTAAAAGTTTGTTTTTATTTCGATAAACGATTACACTACCCAGTCTGAACCTCCTGTGTGAATTTGGACACCTTTAGAAAGGCCACCCTGTATAAACACCTAGACACTAGAAAAACAATAAGTTTATCACTCAATAGTTTTCCAGTAGTTCGAACGCACACCCTCTGGCGCAGGAGGCAAGCACACTACCCACTACGCCATTCGGGTCATGAACAACCAAATGTTAAAAATTATCAGACATTCGCTTACCAACATCAATTACCTCTTTGAATTTGAATCCACGTTGGCACACGTCGCAATGGTACGCGGGCGGTAAATGTCTCCGGCGGTGCGAGGCTAAATTTGAGGCGTTGGGGAACGTAGCCGGGCATTCGGGACAGCGTAATGGGCGCTCGCCACTGTGCAGGCGGGAGTGGACGGCCAGCGCGTACTTCGTGCGGGCACGATAAGGACATTGAGGGCACTGATGCTGCAACTCCCCAGTGTGAATAAGCCTGACGGATTCAAATAATATACACCCGTGTTTAAGAGTCTCTCATTGGTCTCAATGAGCCGTGATAGCTCATTGTCCGCGCGCTCGCTTATAATTCAATAAACTTGAGCGACCTGAGTTCGATCCCCGGTGCCAGCACCAATGAAATTTTTAATTTTGCTGACTTAACATATGCTGATGGTGAAGGAAAAAAAAAAATCATGAGGAAACCTGCATATTTTCGAAATAACCAACAAATAAATATTTCGAAGATATGTGAAGTCCACCAATCCGCAGTGGCTCTGGATGGTGGACTATGACCTAATACCCTCTATACATAGGAGGCCTTTGCCCAGTCGTGGGATATGTATAGGCTGCAACTTTACTTTTTGACTTTTAAACACCTGCAAAAACAATGTTATTAATAAACTACCTATATTTTTGGATTATATCTAATATTATTACCTATGCCTCTTAAGTAGGGACATTGATTTAAATTTGGATCCACATGTCTCACAGATATAACTTCTAAACCTTGTTCGACAGCTAGGCAATAACTCATGCTCTTTGAATTCATCCTGAAACATGTAACTGATTGTTAGAATGAATTTACCCTTTCTTTGGGCACTTTTGACTAAGGACTAGGATCTTTCCTGGTTCAATTTAAGCCAAATTGAATAATAAATCTAATAAAATAAAGCACTTTACCTTATTGGAAAAAACCTTACGGCATTTGCTGCAAGTCCAATCACGAGTTACAATTGCACCTTGTAGATGAAAATAGCCACCATGTATTTTACTATATTCATCTAGGTTGCATTCACTAGTTGAATCTGCCACTAAATAAAAAAATATGACAATTAACTTTGGTATTGATACACAAGATTGGTATACAAGAAGATAAAAAGCAAGCAGGTCAACATACAAAGTACAATTAAAAAATTCTATTTGACACCGGTCCTTTTTTGAACTAGTCGGCCCTTTGTTACATGGTAGAAGCTGCTGCTAGGTGCTGGCACTGAAATTTTACTCTGTGTGACCTATTTAATCAACATATATTTTATGTACTTACCTACATATCAAACTCAACCCACAAAAAGGTGACTTTAACAGACCCTAAAAGTTTTAGAATAGGTACTATGATAAATCATAACTCCATTATAGATGTTAAGAACTTGAATTGAAAAAATGTTAGTTGTCTTTTCATCTTTGTAAGACATTAAATCATATTTGTTTAATTGGGTTACCCTTGATGTGGGTTACAGCAATAAATTTTTCTAACATTGATATATTAAGCTTCACAGCCATATTTTCAGTTCTACTGCTAGTGTTTATAGGTGTTATATAAAAATCTAATAACCAATTTCCAATTCTTGCTGTAATCTCCACTGTGTTATTTCTGCAGTTTGTTTTAGTCTAACAGCCATTTTAATAGTGGTTCCACAAGACATGCATATGTATTGTGGTTTGCCATCATTTTGTGATATCTGAAAGGAGAATATTTAATTTTTTATTTTTGTTTTAATATTTTATATTAACATTTAAAGATTACAAACTGTAAATGGTAATTCTGCAGTTAAATTTATACTGTTCTCTGTGATTTTTCATTAAACTCCTATGGCTTTTATTGATGAGATTTCTTCTCTATATTATTAAAAATACAAGCTAAGTATAAATTTGTTCAATAATGTAGAGAAAATAACAACAAATTTATTAAACATTAATCTAATTTTAACTGAGATATTACTTCTTGTAACTTGCGACCGTAAATATTATTGCAGTGAATATTCTAAATGTATTATAATTAAATTTCATAAAATTATTATAAGCAAAATTTTTCCTTTATCCTTACAAAATTTAAAACTGTTTACCTCTACTCCAAAAATGGTTTTAATAGCCTCTGCATGATTTATTTCGTTAGTGTTATCAAATACTTTTATAACTCCTTGTTTTAAACACAATCGACAACTCTTTTCAATTGTTTGATGTTGAAGAACTTTTCTCAAAGTGCTGTAAGTTAAAAACAATTGACTTAATTTTTTTATTGAATAACAATTCTATCTTCCAATGCACTGAAACAAACCTTAAGTATTTATGTTGTTCCCGTATGTTTATAACTTTTTCGTGTTTGATCTTTTCAAATTCTGATTTATTTATTTTGATAGACATCAATTTGTTAGCCAAAACAAATGTCGTCATTACTTAAATTTTAGATTATACAAACTCAATATCAATAAACTCATTAAATGAGTCAGTCAGACCAATAAAAAAAATGTGTGCGTGTCCTAGCGTACACTCGTAAGTAGAAGTGGGCGATACAAATCGTATCAGATATGAAATCTAGATATTAGTACAATATCCGAATATCGCTTACTGGCTCGTTCAATATCTATGTATTTTACAATATCTGATATTTCCGAAATCTGATATACCGAATACTCGCTCGCTCACTATACCGACACGAATCGCGATATCATACGGTTTGCCACAATATCTGATTTTTAAACAGATTTCGAGAGACAAAGCGCGTGAGATACAAATACTCACTAGTTAGAGCGGGACGGCAAGCAATGAACGATATCAGATATCGAGCGACAAAGCGCGTGAGATATAAATACTCACTAGTTAGAGCGGGACGGCAAGCAATGCACGATATCAGATTTTTAAACAGATTTTGAGCGACAAAGCGCGTGAGATACAAATATTACACTAGTTAGAGCAGTACGGCAAGCAAGGCACAATATCAGATTTTTAAACAGATATTATGAATAAGTTAAGTAATTTTGAATCTTAAGGTCATGCAAATAAGATCCGTTTTAATTAAATACTACAACGATATTATTATATTTTTATTGTTTTGTTTAGCCTTGAGCCGTAACGGGCGACAAAGCGCGCAGTTAAGTAATTTTGAATCTTAACCGCATGGAAAAAAAAATTTTTAGTTGCATTTAAATACAAATTACGATATTAACGATGTCTTTAAATTTTGTTTAGCCTTGAGCTGGATTGCATTGGTACCTAGCACGTAATAGTTAGGGATGCCAACTTACTACTTAAGAATTTTCTGCCAAAATTAAGGAAGAAAAATATAAATGGTAATATAAATTTTTTAGGTGGTAAATTTTTTGTGAATATTTTTATTAGTTAAATTTTTTTCATATTTTTGGAAAAAAATAAAAGTACACAAAAAGAAAAATATAATTTAATAGTGCTGTGCTGCTTGGGTGGAAATCAGATCAAGGCTTATGTGCTTTGTGTGTATATTTTAAATTCTTCTTCTGCCCTAAGTTATAATACTGAATGTACATTTCTTTTTTTCTTTTCTTACACAAATTATAAAAATATTGTCACTCATAATTGCGTGTTCTAAGAATATGTTAAAGTCTATTATTAAGCGATATATAAGATGTTAAAATAAATCATTTTTATATTACTTCAATTTCTATTTTTAATGAAATTTTTAATCAGGTAATTTTACCTTAATAGTATAAAAAATCGTGATTTAAAATTCAGTAAGTTTTTTGAATTTAGTCAATTTTAGTGGGTTTTCGAATTTATTTAGAAGTAAGCTTTTTGAACAGTTGGTATATGGAATGAATCAACTTTTAAATACGCCTGCACAATTTATATTCATAATGAGTATAAAATATCGTTGAAAACATTTTTTTTTTTTTTTTAGAATTCAATGTGGATACGTGACCGTAAAATATCTAGATATTAAAATACATAGTTTCGAAATCTGATATTTGAAATCGAAATCCGATTCAGATACGGTACTCAGAAAAAGCGATACGACCCATCTCTACTCGTAAGAAGTGAAACTTTTTTATGACGTTATTTTTCAAAAAATAATTTACTATATGCAACTTTACAGAAATTGGTTAAATAAAGTTAAATTAGATAAAGTTTAATAAAAGGCTTTTATTATCATAGACATAAATACAAATTTTACAATTATTTCATTTTAGCTTTGTATAATATTTAGTTTCTTATTTGTAATACATGGGTGGCGTTAGTAGTAAATTAAAACACACTATGGTTTGACCGTTGTAATTAGTATGAGGGTCCGCAAAAATTGTTGATTAAAAAACTTGCAACGTGAACCTTGTTTATTTCAATTAACCTCACGGACCCAAAATACAACCGCTTTGAATTTGTACATGGTTCTTCGTTGCCGAATAGTCAGCCAGTGAGTAGAAGGCAGACATTCGACTCGCGCGCGAGTGTTGTGAGTGAGGTTTTTTTGGAAAACCGAACTTGCGGGACGTTGGATCGACGTCGCAACCGCAAGTTCCAGGAGCCGATCGAGGCTTCGAAGAGCATTCGTGCTCAGAAGTATTAGAGCTAGCACTGTCATTAGATTTATTACTATCATTGATGTCGTTATTATATATTTGTGTTATTAATGGCTTATGGTAACTGAAATAACGAAATATATTGTTTACATTTTAGAATCAGAACTAAGAAAAAGATGGCGCGTAACGCAAAAATGTTACACTAAATTTTTTTCCAACCCCGATAAAGAAGTTTCACTTCAAAAGTAGGTATAGACAGAATGACAGAACATCAACATTCCACAATCAACATTGATTTCCATTCAACAATTAACATTCAAGTGAGGCAATTAATGGTAAATCGTAATCAGTAATATCAGCCAGCGGCCCTATGTTTAAAATTTAACTAGAATAGAGCCGTATTATTATAATACTCAACAAAAATACTATTTATTAATCATTAATTACATTATTACTCCTAATCAAAAATGAAAACCCGTTGGTTTCATATTAACTAAATTATTATTGATATAATTATTGTTGTATTTTTTGAATTATCATAAAAACAACAGTAAAGGCTTGAGAGAGTTCACGGAATGCCATGGGACTATGGGTGTGTTTTGTGGTCTCTTCAAGCCTTTAGATTGCGTCAATCATGAAACACTTATCAGGAAATTTTAGGACATAAGAATAACCCCAGATATACATTTTTTTATGCGAAAAGTTGTCAAACGAGCAGACTGTTCACCTGATGTTAAGTGAATACCGCCGCTCATGGACATCTGCCACACGCGAGGGTATGCAGATGCGTTGACAATATTTTTGGAAATTGGACTCCGGCTACCTCACTCACTAGACGAAACGCTACAGTATTTGTCATACTTCCACTTTACGCCAGTCTTCTGTGAGGCCGTGGTTACCGGACGAGCCTGCCCATTCGTGCAACAGCCGAGACTGCTGCGTGGCTTTACCACAGTTAAATGTATGTTTACATCCACCGAAATGTATGTTTCTTTTTTCGATGAATAAATAATTCAGAATTAGTAATTCGAAAGAACAAAACGTTAATAACATTTTCATTTCGAAGCCCGAATCGCTGTGTGCGACCATTTAAATAACACTCAAAACACTAATGCGTTACAGTCAAAACCTAACTACACCAATTTCGACAGAGGTAAAGTAGTATTGGAATCAATCGCAGGCGAAAAGTCCAGCAGTGTAAAAGTTATAGCCTCTCCTTTATCCTACGCTGTTAGAATATCATCGACATTCGACAACCAGTGGTGTTCTGCTAAATTTTTTTGACAGGGCCGAGCCGATCCTGGGTAGACGGCCGCTCTGTGCGGTCTCATGTCCCAAATTTAACGACGGGGGGTAATTTTCAATGATAATCCTATTTTTTGTTTTTTTTAATTAAATAACCCATTTTGTGTATTTGTATATATATATTATAAATAAAGTTTAATCTCCGTTGAACCGGTTCAAAAACTGGTTCACGTATTTGTTTTGGCTCGGTTCCAGTTCCGGTTCAGCAGAAAAAAAACGTTCCGGACTCCGGTTCACAAAAACAAGCCGGTTCGTTCCGGTTTTTGTTCCATTTCGGGTCCGGTTCAAACCCTTGTTTATAATAAATATAAAAATAACATAAAAAATACATATAAAAATTCGTCAAAAATTAGAAAAAGAAATCAGTAATTCTTTTTATTTATTTTTTTCAATACGTCAGCCAATTCTCGTTATCAGAAATCATCTTTAGTTCCGGAACACGTTCCTGCCCAAAAAGATAGTACCGGAACGACATTCCGGAGCGTTCCGGCTCGACAACACCACTGTCGACAACACACACTTGCGCTATAACTGTGCTTAGTCCATCCCTAAAACCCGATTGTTTTAGATGTAACATATTGCTCTGGTTTAGATATTTTATTAATTGCATACAAACAGCCTTTTTGGCGATTTTAGAAAAAAATGTCAGTATAATTATAAATTGAAGATTTAGTTCAAGTGGGTGATTATTTACAATCGACTTCAAAAAACGAGGAGGTTCTCAATTCGACCTCAGAACTTTATACTGAGTGAACGGATTTTGAAGATTCTTTTTTATTTGAAAGCTGGTGGTCACATATTAATATAATTGGTATCGGATCTTGGGCTCCGGAGATACTGAGGGAAATCGTGAAAATCAATTATAAAATGAATAAGCAATCTATTTGAAGTTGGTTTTGTTTTTCGTTAATAAAAATATGGATTTGTTTTTGGATTTATTACAGCTTCCTTCCAGATGTCAGGGAAAACCTCTGTCAGTATAGCCGTATTAATATTATTTGTATTTGCACCCAATATTCGTGAAAATGTTAGGAGAACCATATCTTTATTAATACTATTTATACTACTAGTCGAAATATTTTTCAAATTCTTCTGTAAGTCTTATGTTATTTGTGGATATCAATAGAATATAATAGTCAAATGTTAGTATTTTCGTTTTAGCCCCTGTGGCCTAATGGGTAAGGCATCGACCTCCTAAGCCGGGGATTGTGGGTTCGAGTCTCACCAAGGGTAAACTTTTTTTTCATTGAATTGATTAAATTTATCTTAAAACTTTTATAGGCTGAAAATGTACAGTATGTAGAGACAAGAATTTACATTTTACTAAAGGTATTTAAATAACTTTCAGAGAAATCATGAAACCTTACACAGTAAATACAAAGGCATTTTTCACCAGAACATTCCGGAAAGTTGAAAAATTACTTCATAAGATCTTATAGCACGAAAAATGTAAAAGCAACAACATTACAGCTTATCACAGTATCCATTAGATTCCTCCCTATATCGTCCGCGGACAGAGGCGAGATGACCGTCTGATTTGTATATCCATCATATACAGCGTGTCGTTACAACCGCGACAATAAATGAACACATGTCTAACGCTACTTGCCAATAATCATAAAAAAATATAAGCGTTAAAAAAATTCATACTAAAAAAATATTTTTCAAAGAAACTAATTAAATAAAAACGAAACAAAATTTGTAACATCCTATACAACTACAACTGACTGATTCATACGTTCAGAGACTTTTTCATTCGTTGCCACAGCGACGAATAACAAATCTCTCCTTCTAACAGTATGTTTTATCTCTTTTTAATTCATTCAACCCATTCATATGCTTTGTGACCTTTACAAATGAACTTTACGTTACAGTTTTATACATAAAGGCTGTTCTAAAATTGTTCGTTTTGAAAAATTTAATAACTCGGTAAACATTGATGTTTAAAAAACGTAAATGTTTAATATAATTTTAAAAAGTTATCCTCTTTATGTGTGTTCATTTATTGTCGCGATTGTAACGACACGCTGTATATTAGCCAGTGTATCCAAATATTTAACGATATACATGTCAAAATAAATACCGCTGCATTTGAATACTGCCAATATATGTACTGACGTATGTCCGTGCCAATATCGTTGAAAAATGAACAATTCCGTACATATTTTTTCCGTTTATATTTTTTAGGAAAATCAGGTTGCACCTCTCTATGACGCATAGTGCGATATTTAGAGTTCAGATTCTGGTAAGGTGCCTCGAGGATTTTGAGGAATTAACCCGCCGATAAGCTACTTGGGCGCCATTTCCGATGTAATAGGGAATGATCTTGCGCACTGTGTATAATTCCAAGTATCACTCAGGATAGGAGAGGCCTAAGACAACAGACATATTGCCTTCGGGTTCAGTTTAGTGGTCGTTCACGACTTCAGGAATGTATCTTGAAAATAGAATTCCACTTCACGCTGGTCTTCTGTGAGATCGTAGTACTTACCCGGACGGACTTCCCATGCGCGCAACAGCCGAGGCTGCTGCGTGGCCCTACCACCGCATAAACGACCATATAAATGATCACTTCTTCACAACCAAGACATTATACTATCATAATATCGAACTTGGCCCTCATTTCACATTTATGTTTATGATGGGATATCATTTCTTTTTGTAAAGAATTGATGAACAATTGTATTGCATCAATGATTATTATCAATGTTATTGGGTCGCAGATTGAAGATCGCTCGGGACGTTGAACTAGGCATTTGATCGGATGTGACACAAAGCACTTCTTTCGAAGCTGCCTTCCTATGGGCTTCCCGAGAAGTTATGCAACTGGAATTTTTTGGCAGATCGGAGCATCAATCTCGTTGTCGCCAGTGCATGCTCTGATCCTAAATTTGTCAATGCTGGTGTTCCACAAGGCTGTGTACTGTCTCCCACTCTATTTCTTCTGCATATGTTCAATCATATGTTGCAAATCAGCAACGTTCATTGTTATGCGGATGATAGCACTGTGGATGTCTCGTACACTGGCCGTGCTAACATTTCTCGGAAAAACGTCTACGAGAGAGGACAAGCTTGTGTCTGAAGTCGAGAATTTGTTAACAAATGTCTCAATCTGGGGTCTACTAAGCTTAGTCCAATTCAACCCCAATAAGACACAAGTTTGCGCGTTAACCACTAAAAAGTCCCCATTTGTCGTGACTCCTCATTTTGAGAATACTCCCCTGTCTGTCACAGCTAGTATCGGAATACTTGGCGTCGAAATCTTGAGCAATGTCCAGTTCCGCGGTCTAAAGTAAGGCCAAATTGGCCTGAAAGAAGCTCGGTGTGCTCAGCAAGCGAGACATTACTTCACGTCGGCTCAACGCCTAAACCTTTATAAGGCGCAAATTTGGCCTCACATGGAGTACTGCTCTCACCTCTGGGCCCCCTGTTACCAGTTTCTTCCATTTGACCGCAACAACGTAGTGCAGGTAGGGTTATCGACGATCAAGGTCTTTCCGTTCAGCTTGATCATTTGGCTGGGCGTAGAGATGTTGGATCACTCTGCATCTTCTATCGCATCTATCAACGGCGAGGGTACCGAGAAATTGTTTGGATTGCTCCCGGCGGCTGAATTTCACCATCGGACATCGCGCCAAAACTAAAAATTTCATCCACACCACCTCGATGTCCAGCCTTCCACAACAGCGCGATTTTCAAGGCAGTAAACCTCGAACAACCACTCTGTAGAATCAAATACCGCCGGTGATCTTTCCGAACCGTTCCGACCTGGGAACCTTCAAAGAAGAGAGCATACTCTTTCCTAAAAGGCTGGCAACGCATTTGTAAGCCGTCTGGTGTTGCAGATGTCTATGGGCGGCAGTGATCACTTACCATCAGGTGAGCCTCCTGCTCATTTGCCGGTTTTTTCCCATAAAAAAAATAATCTTGGATTGATGTCAGATCTGTTTTTACTGTGGTAGAGCCACGCAGTAGCTTCGGCTGTTGCCCGAATGGAGAGGCTCGTCCGAATAAGTACGACGACCTCACAGAAGACCGACGTCAAGTGGAAGTATAATACTTTCGCGTTTCGTCTGGTGAATGAGGTAGCTGGAGCCCAATTTTCAAAAGGTTGTCAACGCATCTGCAACCCTCGGGTGAGCTGATGTCCATGGGCTTTCACTTAACATCAGGTGAACCGCCTGCTCGCTTGGCAACATTTCACATAAAACAAAAAGAAAAGATCGTGGATTAATTTTTGGTATCGGCCGTAAATTGGTGTTGAAAAGTGTTTTGTCTCGTGACATAGGTATACATTTTTGATACAGACAAACGAAATGTTTTACGTCAATCTCTATAAACGGGATTGAATCTCGTATTTTTATGACTCCACTTAGTTATGTATTTAAAATATTCTTTAATAGTATATTTTTGTATTTCATATATGGACCAAGTAAGTAGGTACATTTCCAGAAAGCGCGTTAACAAATCAAAAGAGCAATTTCTAATATTATTTTAAGCAAACGAAAAAATGGTAATGATTTTGGTCGTAAAAAATCGTAGATTTCTAATATGTAAAACAGTGTTATAAAAATAGGTGTTAACTTAGGGATCAATATCTATTGATCCGTAAGTCTCTATGGATTCATTGTTTCATAAATAAATTCGTAAACCGTTTCATACTACAGTCATATTTTATTTTCAACTATGCACACTGGTTAATAAAATGGCTTTACAGCCATGACTTTTCCTTTCGGTACCGCTTATCAATTTCATTCAAAGTTACCTTAAGTTAAGGCTTACCTTTAAACTCTATTCTTGAATTATCTTTTGTTTCAGACAGGATTAACGTTGATTAATTGCACATGAATAAATGCCATGTACATAATATATTCGAGCAATAGTTATAACATACATATTCGGGAAAATAGTTATATATATATTTATTATTATATCATTCATATCCCCGAGCAAATATTGAATCTATAGCCATAATGACACCGAGACATCTCATTAAATTCACAATAGTGCAGTAATTAATTCAATCAATTCGTGTTCACATGCCAAACCGATCGCCATATAATTCGTAAGTTGACGGACAGAATCTCCTTGCGAGTTCGGCGTATGGAGATTTAATGTCGACCTTATGTCCCTTAGTGAGGTGGTTCCACACGTGGTAAACGTATGAGTCCTTGATTTTCAGTTCGCCGGCAGCGAAATATTCCTTACCGTTTTGCCATTTGATCGGATAGAAAAGATCCGGCCCATACACCTCGAATCCTGTAATAGGCAACGATACGTTTTATGTGAAAGATTCATGTCAGAATGAAAATTTAAATAATCATTTTGTGGATTCCCGAAAACACACCGAAATATTCTCCATAATAAGCAATATTTAAGTATTAATCTGTCTACGGCAGACGTAAAAATATTTAATTTAAAAAAAAAGGAGTTGTTTACTTCACTTACGGCCGGTTTCAGTGTTCTATCTCCAGATATATTTGGTTACTAGCGATAAGTATTTGACATTTGCTCCATAATATTAAGTCAAAATTCTATGTCCAGTAACCAAATCTATCTGTAGATTTAATATTGAAACCGTTAATCGCCTATTTAAAACTAAAACTATAACTTTGTAAAACAAATAGGAATGAAGTAGTTTGTAAATATCTTTTTTTTTATGCGAAAAGTTGTCAAACGATCAGACGGTACACCTGATGTTAAGTGAATACCGCCGCCCATGGACATCTGCCACACCAGAGGGTTACAGATGCGTTGAAAACCTTTTGAAAATTGGGCTTCGGCTACCTCACTCACCAGACGAAACACGAAAGTGTTTGTCATACTTCCACTTTACGCTGGTCTTCTGTGAGGTCGTGGTACTTACCCGGACGGGCCTGCCCAGTCGTGCAACAGCCGAGGCTGCTGCGTGGCCCTACCACCGTATGTAAAAAACGCAATTCCTACGGAACTCTGATTTTTATCAGTAAAAGAGGTTTATTCATTGAGACAGTTTCTCAAAGATTTACCTATGTAATAACACGTTCTTACGTAATAAGTACCTATAATATATGCAAAATAAAAAATATTAATTACGTCTTACTTAAAGGGCTACAGTAATATAGATAAACAATAAAGAAGACACAAAAACTAAATGTCTGATAAATACGTTAAAATATTCCTAATACTAGAGGTATTTCTATAAAAAATGCTCGAGACATACTTATCCAAGACCAGTTAACTAGAATCCACCGTAATAACATTACCAAACATCCTAGGGACAAGAGATAGAAACTTACCTCTACAGGATTCGGCCGACATGAGAGTGACATTTGTGGTAGAGCACAATCTTTTGAGCACTCGTGTTATAACACCCGGACCGTTGTGACCCCACAGGTCGCCTCTGAAGTTTGTCTGGATTTCTCTGAAAGTGGATGAACTGTAACCAATTAAGGCTAACAATAATACCCCTAAGTACTTAACCTCTTAGGAACTGAGAGGTATTACTGGCTACTAGGAAAATTCAAACTTTTTGACTCGTATCGTACTAAAAGGTTACAACGTTAAGCGTATCTGGAACATAATAACGTGAGTTAGGTTATAAATCACAATAATACAGTCATAACATAACTTGTATGAATATAATTAAATTATTGAAGTTCTCATTGACAATTTGCAAAGTAAGATTTCATTTTCTTACAGATGCCTTATAGAAATTGTATTGTCTTTTTCATTAGTATTTTTCAATTTAAATCGTTGTCTGTATCTAGAATTTGAAAGATTGATATTTCAATGGAATGTTTGTAAAGCTTCGGCAAATATGTCAAACTTAATCAATCAGAATATTAAACAGGTATTCGATTGATGCACAATGTGTGCACCATTTAATAGCAAATCCCGCCGGATAACACTACACCCACAGCTAGTGTAACAACAAACACAATAGTTTGCCCTCGCCTCCGAGCACGGCGAGACCAACACAACGCGTACACAAGGTACACCCGCGTTCCAGGGTTCTCACCGCCCCCAGCCACCGATTAGCTAAAACCACAGTCGACGGCCATCGGGGTCTCGGTCCGCACCGCAACTTCGATGGCCCTTAGATGACATGTCGTAGTTAAACGCACGCATGAGCACATGCGCGGCCCTACCCACAGCGGAGGGCCCAAACCCGTGGGTTCTGGCTAGCCCACCGGTTCTGCGTCAGATGAAGCTTTAATAGTCTCGGGACTGAAAGCAAAAACATCAGTTAATACAAGATACAAAACCATTTAATGTTTCAATCGTCAGGTTTTTACATTGAACTAACTTGTAAAAGTACATATACCAACTATTATTAGTAAGTTATCATATACTAATATAATATAACAATATTTAGTATACAGCGTGTCTTTACAATCGCGATAATAAATGAACAAACGTATAGAGGATATTTTTTTAAAATTGTATTAAACATTTACATTCTTTAAACATCAATATTTAGAGTTAATAAATTTTCCAAAACAAAGAATTTAAGAACACCCTTACGTATAAAACTGTAATGTAAAGTTCATTTGTAAAGGTCACAAAGCATATAAATGGGTTGAATGAATTTAAAAGAGATAAAACATACTGTTATAAGGAGAGTCTTGTAATGCGACATTGTGGCAACGAATGAAAAAGTCTCTGAATGTATGAATCAGTCAGTTGTAGTTGTATAGGTGTTATAAATTTTGTTTCTTATTTACTTAATTATTTTGTTTGAAAAATATTTTTTTTATTATGGATTTTTTAACGTTAATATTTTTTATGATTATTGGCAAGTAGCGTTAGACGTATATATCATATAGTAACTATTATTTATAAATTAATAAGTATTAGATTTACTCTTTCAAAGTTATGTCACCAATCAGGAATCTCTATTGATGAGAAAATCCTACCGCTTGAGGATTCAACAGCATTTCTTGGAATAAGCGTTGACTCCAAGTTGCAATGAGGATTTCATGTAGATAAGGTAGCTAAGAAATTGAGCGCGATTTAACGATGAAACAGCTAAATTAGTTTATTATGCTTATTTTCACAGCATAATGTCTTATGGTGCCTTACTTTGGGGTTCCGCATCCGGTTTGCTAGACACAATATTTGTATCAAAAAAGCAGGCTATACGGGCTGTCTATGGCTTGGGTCCACGTGAGTCACTACGGCATATATTTAAGCAAATAAACGTATTAACGTCCCTTTACATACTTGAGAACATCATGTATGTACGTAATAATGTCCACCTTTTTACGAAAAAACAAACCACATCGCGTCGGGGCCGTGGTGACACTCTGGAAGTACCAAGGTTTAGATCGGCTAAAACCAAAAAGTCGTTTCTTGGTAGATGCATCAACTTTTATAATAAAATAGGTGACATTCACAAACGAGTAAATATAAACAATTTCAAACAATTTTTAAAAGCTACCTTAATGACAAGGGCCTACTATAATGTCCAAGAATACATTGAAGACAAGGATGTGTGGAAATGACTTTTGCTCTGCACTTGCAAGCCCCATGGCTGCTGCTGATTAAGTAAGTTTAATTTAAACCTAAATAAGTGTGTATAATTGCATAAAAAAAAAAGAACAAGACCGCAGAGTTTCTTGCCGGTTCTTCTCTGTGCAGGTCTAGTTTACTGAACCGGTGGTAGATTTTTGTTGACGTTCAATAAGAGCTTAAGTTAAGCCTATATTGAATAAAGATACTTTGACTTTGACTTCGCTTGGCTGTTACCTATTCATGCTATTACAGATTACTTAGTTCATCTAATATATTTAATTATAAGTTAGATATTATTTAGGTGTTGTTTATACGTTAAAATTTACATAAACAATGTTTTAATAACTCCAAAAATTACCAATACTAGTGTTGTAGGAAGGTACTCCCGAAGGTCTAATGGTGATATTTTTCTTTGGCAACGAGAACCTGTAAACGCCTTTCATGTGGTATGCAATTTATGGATGACCATAGGGTCACGGGACGGGCCGAATTGAAGACTCATTTCGGTAGTAAAAAAATTATGTACTTCGCTATCATCAATCAATAGTATTTATCTTCTTCAATTCACTTCAATGTATAAAACTTAACTTCTAATCCGAAAATTTTAAAATTGACGTCCCGGTTAGTCTCATAGTGAATATGGCACCAGCACTAGAGGGCGTCAATTCGATTCTCACTACTGGATTTTTTTTGTGATGTGTAGTTTGCTGTTAGCTTTGACAGCTTCGGCAGAAGAGATTCGCGGGCATACGACCCACGGACTCGGAACAACAACGTAGCTGGTACACGACGACGTCAAGAAGACGCCGTCCGCTCCTCTGGACTCCGCGACACCCTGCTAACGAAAGATGGAGAATCGACTACTCACTACTGGAAAAATATATAAGTGAAATTTATTCGCTCTGTGGTGAGATATAACTCAGTCTAGTTCTTTTTACCTCGCGGCCGCCGTCGCGACTGCCCTGCCAACTTCGTCCCTCGAGAAGGCCAGGGCGCCGGTCGCCACGTGCGTGTCGCTCTCCCTCGCGGCCCAGTTGCTCGCCAGCGTGTCGAACCGCCTCGCCACCACCACGTCCAAGTCCAGATACACGCCCCCCCACTTGTGCAGCGTCAAGAACCTAAGCAAATCCGACGCGTGCGATATCTTCCACAGACTGCCGTTCAACGCGCCGCTCACCACGACTTGCTCCGCGGGCGTGCCTTTAGCGTATTCGGCTATGTGTACCCTCGCGGGTCTAACGTTTTCGATAGCCCCGAGCATCTTAAATGGGGGCCCGTTCAGAGCGGCTTTTGTTACTGGCGCGCTGAATAACACATGGATCTGGTATTCCGGGTGCGCCCGCGCCGCGGACTCAATGGCGCACGCCTGCCTCGACGTCATATTGCCGACGCAGGAGGTCTCGTGGAAGAATATCGAATTGGGCGACGGTGAAGCGTCCGCTCTCGGCAAAACGTCCCCTAGCGCCGAATAATAACACGATATACTATCCGTCTCACTCCCTTCGAACAGCGAAAGGTTTGCTAAGAGCAGATTGTAGTGTAACGGCACGTAGACCAGCACTAGCAGTATCACAATGGTGAAGACTTTTCGACGCCTCGTGCAAAACACATCTAGTCGCTTCAATGCCATTGTTGTCGCATTTCATTATACTTTTGCATTATTAACTATCGAAGTGTTTGTCTAAATGCGGCCCAGTTCTTTTCCGTTGCATATGCTGTGCTAATTTATACCAGTTGTTATCAATACCAAACAAAATTAAATAAATTCGCAAGGGTGCAAGCTTAGCACCACTTCAGTTCCAACCTGTGCACGACACTCAAACTACCGCCATTGCAATCGCATTTGTTATGAATGGATCGGTGCACAAACTTTGATACGGAGCGACTTGGATGATTCACACGGCCAATTTAACGTGGTCCAAGGCATAAGGCTCGAACGTTATTAACATGTGCCACAGTAAACGCTTCAAGTTTTATAATTTTATAAGCGTACGGATAGCGTGTTTATTAAAAAAAAACGAAAGTTGGACTTTATCTATGTTGAATTGGACTTTAGCGCATCGTGGTGCTATTAATACACATGTAAAGTAATGACAGTACCATGTACATAAATTCTGTGACTTATTGTTTGTGACAAGTACATGCTTGAATATAAAGAAGATACAAATTGGTGGTTTTTGAGTTTGGCTGAAAAACGTATTCTGGTTACCAATAACAATATTTGTCATATCTGTCTTCTTCCATTCAGAAATTGATCGATTTGCTTTTTGAATGGAGAAAGTTTTTGGGCCTTAGAGTAATGCCTTCAATAACGTTTCCTTCGTAAGTATTACCTAGGTCGAAGTCCTTACTATCGATGAAAAAGTAACGGCACATGGAGACTATTGAAATTGTAATGTACGCAAGAACACGAGAGTACCTCGTTCTTGGATTGAATTTCTATTGCTATTACATTAAAAAAAAAGTATAGAAATCAAAGAAAGGTAAGTAAGATTGATTAAATCCATTTTTTAACATTCTAATAACTTATATTACTGACAAATTAAAATATTTTAAACCGATAAAAAAATTACACGAAAAATATATTTATTTTGCAAAATTTATTGTTTAACTTTCCTAGAGTATTTGTCAGGTGTGTGCTGCCTAGGTATCTACTATCTAGTTTACTATAATTGTGTTTCTTTTTAACACTCGAACTGAAACGTTTAACAACACGCATAACCATTCTAACTCGGAAGCACCTCTTCTCGAAATCTTTGAATTTGATTTTAAGAAGAGACAAAAATAAAAGAATTGCTAAACAAATCAAATTTTTTGGCGGTGATAAAGAAAAAGAAAAAAATTTAATATTCATCCGTGGCCATTTAATAGACCCGATCGTATCTTCGATGCAAACGTAGGCTGGATGACTTATCGATTTTCCCAGTGCCCTTGTCTCTAGGAATAGGTACGGAATGTTTCACATTTCATTGTAAGCGGTTCGGTGTCATGCGATCATTAATATTAGATGCCATGCAACTGGCGAAATAAAATTCAAGAAAAAACAACGGCTGTGATAATTTAAAAACAGTTGTCATCATCTGCTAAATATTTTTTTACCTGAACTCAAATAAGATCGCACTAAATAATAAATAATAATATTTTATTAAAATTCAATCATCAATAGTAGTGAATATTTTCTAAAGCTAAGCTATAAGCTCAAGATAATTTTATTCGATGTAGTGTAATTATATCAAGATGACGCTACTACCACGACCTTAGGGTGAGTATAGACTACAACATTTACTTGTAACAGAACAACGAGCCGCTCTATGATACGTTCTAGTGTATCATCCTTTCACGAACTAAACGTCGAGCACGCTCGCCTCTTTGTTACAAACCACATTGCATATTGGTGTAACATTTCGTCGAGCGTATTGGTGTAACATTTCGTCGAGCGTATTGGTGTAACATTTCGTCGAGCGTATTGGTGTAACATTTCGTCGAGCGTATTGGTGTAACATTTCGTCGAGCGTATTGGTGTAACATTTCGTCGAGCCCCGAGTGCGGGCGAAGCGCGGTTGCGGGGTGACAGGGACGGAGAGGGACGAAAGACGGTCGTTAGTTGTTCTAGTTTACGCTGTGATTTTAGACGTGCATTGCATTAGCTCGTTATTTATACTTATTATCTATTTTCTATAGTATTATTATCTCTTATTATCTATATCTATTATAAATGTTCATTTGCCACCATCTACTATTTCTATTTTCTTTTTTCTTCTAATATAATTCATCAAGATAAACGCAGCACACGCAACTTGTAGGTCCGACATTTCAAAAAAGAATGAACGCATGGTACAACGAAATGTTGGTAAATGCACACTTGCTGTGAGCATTTACCCGTAACATAACACCGAGCATTCGCAGGAACGTTACATTACATGGAAATGCTTTGGAAACTGAGCTTTTGCGTGTATTGTACCATTCGTAAGAACGTTACATTACACAGAAATGCTCCAGAAAATGTTGTAGTCTATACTCGCCTTTAAATAAACACACACACATAGAGGATATATTTTAAAAATTGTTTTCCAACATTTACTTTCATTAAACATCAAAATTTACACAGTTATTTAATTTCCAAAAAAAAAAAATTAAACACCCCTACGTATAAAACTGTAACGTAAACTTAATTTGTAAAGGTCACAAAGCATATGAATTGGTTGATTGAATTTAAAAGAGATAAAACATACTGTTAGAAGGAGAGGCTTGTAACTCGACGTTGTGGCAACGAATGAAAGTCTCTGTAGTCCATTTAAATGTTACATGAGCTTTACATTTTTTAGAGGACGCAATTTTATTTTTGGGACATGTGTGTCAATATAAGCTTAACCCTAAGATTTTGGGGTTGCCGACTTTGTCCCCCGGCCGCCATCTTGGAAAAAGTGGTGCACACATGCTACCACAATTTCCTTTGCATCTGCAGAAAATTAATTTCATGAGATCGGGGTGTGCTGGAGGCTGGGAAGCTTGTTTCCAAATGTTTGCATGCTTTTTCCAGCCCCACATGTCCAAAAATATAATTGCCTCCTCTAATAAATGCAATAATAGGTCCTTAAATTGTAACATTTCAATGGACTACTGAATGTATAAATCTATCAGATGTAGTCATACAGGATATAACAAATTTTGTTTCTTTTTTATTTAGTTTGTTTGAAAAAAAAATAACGTTTATATTTATGAATGGGCGTTTTTTTTAGATAATAATCCAATTCGGAAATGTTTCTACAAAATATTAATTGCGTGGGGGATTTGAAAGCATAACCTGCGCAGGCTACCGCTGAACCAAGCAAGAATGAAAAGAGGTCTTTCAAATTCATAAATTCGGTAGGCATAGAATATTTAGTATTTTGGTGCTAAACGTTGTTTTTTATAAATGCGTATTATTCTTATAACCCAATAAATAATATGACATTGGCGGTGTGTTAAATTAAAAATTTACCCGTCGTCAACCCAGTCACTGATTTTCTTAAATTTCTAATGATTTTATCCCAGTCTACAGATTTTGCTAGCTTTTAACATTCTCTACAAGCTCTCTACTTTACCAAAACTCACATTTACCGTATCGAACGGTTTTGTTCTTATTCTACGAGATTTATAAAATAAATTTTAAAACGGCGGGAAGGGAATAGGACATTAAAAGCGATAAAATCTGTACAAAACAGTTTTATTCCATAAGTAGTATCCTCGTAAATATAACAAATCATTACATATCTAATTTAATTATACGATTAAATAAATTATATTGAATATAGACAAGGAAGCGCTTACAAAATATTTGCACCGTCGGTGTTTTAGACAAACTTTAATAGTACTAATTAGCTAAAATCGACTAAAATAAAACGCTGGCACCTTTTAAAATGACGCAATCGGCAAAACTTTCAACCGATAGATAGCCTTAAATAGAATGACTGATGGTCCATAATTTGTAGCGTTAAAGTACGAGCGAGACGGATGGAGGTCCATCAGGCCTTTCATTCGCACGTGTAAAATAGTTGTAACAATGGAATCAATTGTTTTCATTATCGCCAAGATAAACATCGACAACACACAGTGGTACAATACAACATTATTTAATATGAATCATACTTCTATAGTCGAACTGTTATAATCCATTTATGCAATAAAATTAGAACCATCCTATATTCTTAATGCATCTTCAGCTGACTAATGATACCAAAATAGACTTGTGACTTCGAATCTTTAATCTGCCTAAAATTCACTCCCAATTTCAGGCTTAATCTTACTTACACTGGTAATAGTTACACAATATTAACACTAGTACAATTTGTATAGTAATATATATCACTCAAACGGGCCATAGACAAAGGTTGAGGTTTCATTAAAAAATCTATAGACACGATCACTTTGGTTGTCTTGAGGTCCATGGTCCGGAATTAATGAAAATAACTTAAGATAACATAATACCGAATACTTGGGATCTCATATAATACCACAAGTGCTGTAAGACTCTACAAGTCGTAATAAGACGGCCAGTTTATGTGGGACTGGTCACACGAAAGCTATTCTTTAGTCGCTGGTTCATGTTGTCTGGCCGGCGAGTGCGCGCGGGCGGGCTCTTCGCTTTTCTCTTTCCTCTGCACGTATCTGAAGCGAAATCAAAAGTTAATTATATCAATGCAATTTGGGGTCGATATTACCACGTCGTGCTATATAATAGTTGGTAGTAGTGGACGATATTTGATCATAATTTATTATAAATGGTAGTGCGTGTAATGTTTTTTTAATTCATTTAATGTATTTTTTATAATATTTTGGATAATTTATAAAAAAAAATATTTGCATTCTGCACTCCCTCTCTGTACAAAGTATAAGTATAGGACATTGCTTACACCGCGCAATTTTCGTAAAAAGTGGTACAAAGATTTTCCTTCAGTACACTTTTGTTACTTAGTCGGTCAGTAATGATAAGCACTATTTCAAACTTTATATCAAAACCTATTTACACCAAACGAAATATATACATTGGTATATAGATTTTGGAGGTAAACATTTTTTCCTGGATCCGAGCCAATGGAGGTATATGTTATGCTATAGATATATTGGATGTTCTAATTGCAAATTAGTTAATTTATTAGGTCTGGAGGCGGAAATGGGACATGTCGCTGATCTGTAGGTATGTACCATGCTATTTTACGTTGTGCCGATAGAAGCGAGAGAGCGGTGAAATGAAGGCCACTGACCGGGCGGGATGTTGTAGGAAAATTTTATGCGGATAGGCGAATGTATGAAACGAGGGAAGTAGGGTGATGAAGGTCAATGACCGGGAGGACACCCTGTCAGTGTTTCCCATAGCCCTCTATGGAAGTCATACAGGGTGAGAGTCCTTAACGACAGTCTTACTCGACGAGACAAAGGGGAGACTCAAGAAGGGGGGGGGGGGGGGGGGGTCAATCAAAGAAATCCGGACAGGCTGGCGAGGACAGAGGAAAGACTGTCGGGGCAAGGCGAAGGGCAGAGGGAAGGGGGATTTTGATTCTCCAGGGAGACGTCCGGTGGGCTGGAGGCCACTGACCCTTATACGCGGTCGGTGGGCTGGAGGCCATTGACCTGTACATGCCATCGATGGGCTGGAGGTCATTGACCTGTACATGCCATCGATGGGCTGGAGGCCACTGACCTGTAAATGTCGTCGGTGGGCTGCAGGGTGCCGTGCGCGAGCAGCAGCCGCCTGCCGGCCGGCGGGGGCGGCGGCGCCCACCACGAGACCACGCGGCCCACCACCGGCACGCGCCGCAGCAGCCCCTCCTGCCACGCCTCGCGCTGCAGGTCCGCCTGCGCCTCCTCGATGCCTGCCGAGGCCCAAGGTCAAGGTCAGAGCTCGCCGCAAAGGTCGCGTGACGTCACCGGACGCGGTCAAGTGCATTTTGAAATGAGAACGGCCGAGCGAGAACGGTCCGTTGCGGTTTTACAATTTAGACACTTTCAAGCAGAGTGAATTGATATATATGAATGATATATATGAATATGTATTGTTTTTTTAATCACTTGAAGCGGTTGCATATGCGAAACAGACACTGGCATACATAATTTGCGTCTTCAGAATCTGTCCTATAAATCACAAATCAAAGGCCGTACGGATGTTCGTCGCTAAGAATTATTATCATTTTAAACATATTGTACATGTATGCTAATAGACTAATAAATACGATCAGATTTATCGGAATCAAAGCTTGGCGCCATCTAGTGTGAATCCCTTACCGCATGCAACACCTTACGAAGAACATTCAAATATGAACATTTGTAATGAGGCTTCAAAAATTTGAATAGAGGATCCCAATAAAAAAAATAAACTCACCCTTTTTCAATACTTCAGTCATATCCGTGAGGGCCTTTGAGTTCTCTTCGACATCCTTTCCGGCGACCACCACTAATTCCAGCAGTTCGTCCACATCCGTATCGGCGGTCACCATACCGAACCTGCGCAGAATGATTCAAAATTAAAATCACAATTTTGCTATAATATATTCATCAACTGGAAAATTACGGGAATAGTAAAGACTGATAAATATTTAAATAGCGTTGACATCCAGATAAGGGGTGAAGCGTATTTATCGTAACAGGTACTCAATTTTACCTGGTATAATTCCTCCTAATTCAGATACGTTCCTCTATAGAGCATTCCACACTTTTGCAGGCGGTTACAACTGCTTAAGTTTAGCGCCTGTGGGCACGAGCAACATCTTTGAGTTTGCATTTGCTATGTAACTTTCAGGAGGGTATTAAACAGCTCAGTTACTCACTAGACGAAATAAAAGGATAATGTTATCCTAATACTTTAGGATGAAAAAAACATGTGAGTAGTCCGACGCCAAAGCAGATAAAGGACTTGTATTCGCATACTTCCGAGACCCTGTCAGCGATTCTGCAGCCCTACCACTGACAGTAATTCATTCGCCGCATCGTTAGAAATGCTCGGCGTATCTATTATTATCTTTTACAGCACACGAACAATTTTCAACGAATATTTCTCTCCCTCTCTAATCTCTCAGAATGCTATAACAACCGGGTCCGTGGGGTAATCACGAGGTGCCACCCAGAGTCAAGCCGTCCTAAGGGTTAAAGGCCAGCCGCCCCAAGAGACAAGGGACAGGCGCTCCGAGGGTCAAGGGTCAGGCGCACCGAGGGTCAAGGGTTAGCCGCTCTAAGGGTCAAGGACCAGCAGCTCCAAGGGTCAATGGTCAGCCGCCATAAGTGTAAAGGTTAGCCCCCCTAAGCACAAAGGTTAGCTGCCCCCAGAGGGAAGGGTCAGCCACCTCACCTGGGCCTCACCTGACGCAGGCCATGCCGTCATCCCCGTCCCCGCACGAGAAGGCGCCGTCGGTGGCGCGCAGCGTCTCCACCAGCTGCCGGTTTAGGGAGTTCAGCTCTTCCGGCGGCGCCTGTTCCCAGCCAGTGGGCACGTAGCGGACCCCGCCCAAGCCTGGCATTTTTTTTTATTTGAGAAGCATATTTTAATGGGAAGCAAGCTGACGATTCACCTGCTGCTAAGTGATAAACGCCACCAATGAACATTTGCAGCATCCGTAATGTTGAAGATGCCTTTTAACAAAATGAGGCCCCGGCAATTTCACTTACCAGACGAAACGCACATTAACACTTCTACTTACGGCGGTCTTCTGTGAGATCGTGGTACTTCCCTGGACGGACCTATCCAATCGTGCTACAACGAAGACTGTTGCGTGGTTGGATGTTTAGGGTTCCGTCCTAAAACAACTAATCGTCCCTCTTTGAGATGGCGTCATATACCTTACACTATTTCACTGGGAAAAAAAAGACGAGCGAAACTCCGTTGCGCAGGTTCTATAACATAATTAGGGTTGCCAACGGTTTTTGAGATAAATTAAGTACGGTTGGCAACCCTAAATATAACCTCAAACTCCATTTATGTTGATTGGTCGTTGTAACTCCACTCAAAGCTACAGCGAAGACATTTACATTGCCCTGGACACTCACCCGCCCAGCCGGGCACGTGCACCAGCCGCAAGCAGGCGTGCCTCTCCAGCCTCTGCTGGAAGGGCTCGCGTAGCGCTACGGTCGCGTGTAGCACGTGCAGCTGCGCTTCCAGCACCGCCGCCCACGCGTCCATCCGCTCCTCCTCTATCATCGAGCCCTCAAGTGGGCAGTAGCGTAGCACTACGCCGTAGCCCTCCGTCTCGCACACCTCGATGTTGGCCTGCGGGTGACGAGCTACGATATTGCTACGCGTCACTATTGAGAAGGCATAGACTTTATTTAATGCACTACGCCGTAGCCCACCGTGTCGCACATCCGATGTTTACACTGAGGGTCATGCGCTACGATGTTGCTACGCGGCAGTAGAAAGAAGATCCGCGTAGCGGATTTTTATAAATTAATAACAATAAAGAAATGGTGTGAGTAAAGAATGACAAATAATGTTAATGTAAAAAGTAAGTGTAGTTTTGGTGTTTTATGAAGGCCTTGTTAAAAGATATTTTCGGATAATTACTCATATATTGACAGAAGGATTTGGTTTAATCGATAAAAAAATTATAATACTAAAAATCATAACTTCAAAATTATGGATCAAATGAACGTGAATTTAAAAATGTTCGTTGACATCTTTACACGTTGTTTGTGGCACTACAACACATTTGAGTATCACTAGCCTCTTTTTGAGTTACCGCAAATAATTTTGCATGCGTTGATATACAGTTGGTCGTGTATGCTCACCATGTCGACTTCCCTTTGTAGCACCTGACCGAACCAGGAGTTGAGCTTGTCGTAATACGGCGGCGGCTTTTCTACACCGGGCGGCGCAAACTGGAAAGCCACGCACGCGGACGCCTTACTTATTGCTTCCTAAAACATAGTAAAGTAGTGGTGAAGTAACAGCCTAAAAATGTCCCACGAATGGGCAAAGGCCTCCTTTGTACACAGGGTATCAGGGCATAGTCCACTACCACACTGCGGATTGGTGGACTTCACATATAATATATATATATATATATATATATATATATATATATATATATATAAGTAAAGTAAGGTAACAGCCTATACATGTCCCACTGCTGGGCAAAGGCCTCCTCTCTACAGAGGGTATCAGGGCATAGTCCACCACGCGGCCCCACTGCGGATTGGCGGACTTCACATATCTTCGAAAGCTATTTTTTTTGTTATTATTTCTAAGTGATAAGTGGTCGTTCCTAAAACATACTTCTTTTTAATAGTACAAACTCTTAACAGTATATTTGCAATTTATGGGTAGAGGAAAACATTTTTAAAAATACTTACAATTATGTCAACATTAGGTGGCTCGTCACCGCCGGGCCTGTCGCTCTGAAATTGAATAAGTAAAAAAAAATCTAAGAAATTGACAATGACTTTGATTTTGAATGAGAATTTTTTGACAGTATATTGTCGACAACTTCTCGGCGCTGCAGGATTTGTACCTGTGTTTTAGGCATAATGCGCCCAGACGCTCTAACTAAGCTCTGCGGCCGATTCGCGAATAGTTATGTTAAAGCAAAATAAACCTTACGAAAAGAATATACAATTCGTTTTTGTTCGCAACCGCAATCGGCACCGTACGACTATCCGCAGTTAAACCTAATCCATCTCTCAAAACAGCGCCTCTGCGAAGACCGTTATAGTTCGAAATAAATGTTCTCTTTATAATATAAATTATAAACTGTTCGTAATTCTGGTCTACGTCAGAGTCAGAGTCAGCAAAACATAGCAATAAATATCTAATACACGTCCAAATAATTAAATATTTTTTTTGCTTTCAATCGAAATCTCTCTATATTTGGAATGCAACGATCGTACCCGTACAGACTAGAAACTTGAGAAGATACTGGGTCACGCGTAACACAAACTAAAAAAGACCTTAAGATCTTAGAGATAGAGTCCATGTTCGTACAAATTGACTTTGTACTCACGAGTATCCGCAGGCCGGCACCGGCGATCACCGCCCGCGCCGCCCGCGCGGATCTGAACGCGCTGTGCAGGCGACGAGCGAGACGGCGCGCGCCTCCCGCTCTAGCGGCCGCCCAGAGCGGCAACGCCGCGAGGCGCGTGCCGCCGCCGAGGCCCGCCAACGCCGCCAGAGCGCCTTCTCGTCCCGAGGCCTGGCCACGGATTATATTCAAACTCAAATATCTTTACTCAACATAGGAGCATTGCACTCACTTATTGATGGTCAAAATACTACTACCGGTTCGGAAAAGAGAAGCCACTGAGAGGAACCGGCAAAGGAAACTCAGCGGGCCATTTTTTTAAAACTTTATATATCTTTTCTCAGCTATAAAAGTAAAAAAAAGTAAAGTAACAGCCTATATATGTCCCACTGCTGGGCAAAGGCCTCCTCTATACAGAGGGTATCAGGGCATAGTCCACCACGCGGCCCCACTGCGGATTGGCGGACTTCACATATTTTCGAAATACATTTTTTTTTATTGTTTCGAAAATATGCAGGTTTCCTCACGAGGTTTCCTTCACCGCGGAGCACGTGATAAGTCAGCACTTAAAGTTAAAAACTTCATTGGTGCCGGCACCGGGGATCGAACTCAGGTTGCTCGAGTATATTGAATTAAAGGCGAGCGCCCGGACACTGAGCTATCACGGCTATAATATTTCTCAGCTATATTCTCATAGAATCACTACCGATCACATTTATTACATATTTTTTGTGAGTTTATAAAGTGTATTTGAAAAATTTGACTCGGATATACAAGCAGAATAAGAACCACCAAAATCAAGAACAGAAAAACACCGAAATTAATGTTATCAATATTATACTAAATACTAATAATAATTATAATAAAAATGAATAAGAAAGTAGACCAACAATATATTGCGATAATAAACACTTACCGTGCTGACGGACTTTGAGTGATCATTAACAGTAACCTGCTCGGGTATTTTGTACAATGTCTGTGCGAATGCTAAGTAATTATTATAGTTAATTTTTGATAACACAACATTGAACATTGTTTGCTGATTTAGTAATATTACTCAATTAACGCATTTCCTAAACCAGTATCATTTCTACCCATAAGTGTAAGTACACTTCAAAAAAGTAAAAGGTTCTTTTTCTAAAGAGTTTCTAAAGTGCTTTAAAAACGTTTATATTATTGATGACTTTTAAATCTGATGGCTCTATACAATATATGGGTACAACGTAAATATGTATATAAACTTTCCAGTTTACATTTCCAAGAATGAACTTTTACAGAACTTTCCTCCTGTAGTTCATTCTGCAAAAGCATAAATTTTATATAGCACATAAAATATAAGCAAACAAATATTCTTGCAACATTGCACCCTTTATAATACCTACGTAGCATTCATTTAATGAAATTTTCCAGAAAAATATAAAATGTAAAGGATACAACTGTTGGCAGCCCCGGCACACCGAACCAAGAGCCGGGTGTGAGAGTCACCGAATCCGCGATACTGTGCGTCTGGAAATAAATGCGAAAGAAAAAGATTAAAAACTCTTACTGGAGTTAAACCAAAAATTGTTGGCAGAAGTTGAAGTTTGGCAATACAACAAAATAATGGGCGGTAAGGTAGTTGACATAAAGTGCCGTTCTTAGGAAAAACACATCATCAATGTGTTGCCGGAATGTAAATAAGTGGTATAATGCAGGATTTATTGTTCTTTTCTTTTCGCTACAAAATTTTAAGTGATGGTTATATTTAGGAATAAACTCGCGCGACATATTTATTGAGTATGTCATTAGTTTCTAAGATAAATAAGGGAAGAAGAGACTATGACATATTTGCGATAGAAGCTTCTATTAACAACACTCATAAGAGATGGTGTTGTCCTTATGGACCCTCTAATGATGATTTGTGTATAGCATATAGCAGCATCCAAAATTCAAAAATTCTAGATGTCTAGATTATTTTCTTAAGTGAGAATGATGTAGTTATAAGGTCGGAGCCTCCTTTTAAGTATAAAATAGCACAGTCTTCGCTTTCACATGAAAATTTTATTGAAAGTTTAATAACTGGAAGCTATTTTCTTCAAACAGCTGTTCTGTACTCGCACAGAAAGGAAACTCTTTGCTTATTACAATAACGAAGGCGACACCAGAAGTAATCCATACCTCGTCCCTGCCAGTGGCCGCTGGCAACGCCAGGGCGTGGCCGCGCACGTGTAGGTGCACGTTTTTCGCCTTGCAGAGGGCGCTGAGGGCCGCGAGCGGAGTCCCCCACCCGAGGGGCGGAGCGCCCACCTCGCCCAGGACCAGCAGCGGAGTCCGGTTCGCGGAGAGGTCCTCGTCGCACAGCCTTTCGAGCGCCTCTAAGTCCATACCCCGCGCTGTGGAGTCGGTGTTGTCCACACTAGAGTGTCGTCACAGCGCAAGGGACGCTTTTTTTTAACCGACTTCAAAAGAAGGAGGTTCTCAATTCGACTGTATTTTTTTTTAATGTTTCTTACCTCAGAATCGCTTTTGGATGATTTCGCTTTTTGATAATCGGATTTTGATGATTCTTTTTTTTTATTTGAAACGGAGATACTTAGGGAACTTCTGAAAATCAATTATAAATTGAATACAGAACGAGATATTTTAAGTCGGTTTTGTTTTTCGTTAGTAAAAAAATGGTTATTTTATTAGAAACTGGCCAGTCCTTGATGTGGTGGTAAAGGAAGCCTATTCACTTTTGCCTTAAAGGCATAGTGCAGACGGACGGAAACACTGACAACAGTAAGTTTATCAACTCTTTTGTCGTACGATCGAACGAGGCGAACCCTTTTGTTCGAATGCAGTTAATGTCGTAAACTCGTAAACGATAAGATCTCCTGCCGATTATCTGCTTGTCGAATGACTTGTAAGATATAAAACAGCAATACCTTTTTTTATATTATCAGGTTTATAGCGTTTTTAACTGGATTAAGGAAAATCCGGATCAAACTTCCAAACTCCCTTATGACCGTACGCATCAGAGAAGCATGGGTTGTCTTAAATGGATTGTACAATATAAGGGGGTAAAGACTGATTGATGTAATATTACGGACCACGCGGCAACTAGAGGAAGGATCTCAAAGGACCTCGGTTTATGTAAAGAAGATCACTGGCTGACCACAATCGCATACATGATAAATACAACATCGGCTGCGAACAAGCTTTGGGTTCTAAGGCAAACTTCGTTCCATGGGAAAGCTTTTATCAGTGGCAAGGCCACGCAGCGTGAGGTGGAAGCATAATACTTCCGCGTTCGGTCTCGTGAGTCAGGTAAACGGGGCCAACTTTTTTTAAAAGGTGACAATGCATCTGAAACCCTACGGGTGTTACAGTTCGGGCGGCGGTTATCACTTAACTTCAGGCGAATCGCTAGCTAAGCAACTTCACGCCCGTCTTCTGTGAGGTCGTGATACTAACTCGGACGGACATGCAGCAAACACTGTTGCGTGGTACCACAGCTGTTTGGGAGCCCCACTTGAATATTTTTTATTTTGTTTTTTAGTATTTGTTGTTGCAGCGGCAACAATACATCATCTGTGAAAATTTCAACTGTCTATCTAACTATCGCGGTTCAAGAGATCCAGCCTGGTGACAAACGGGCAGACAGACAGCGGAGTCTTGGTAACATGGTCCCGTTTCACCCTTTGGAGGGTACGGAACCCTGAAAGAACCCAATCTCGGACCTATTTATAACGTACCCGATGGATGTACTGGCACCGGCCTCACACACGCCAAGGGGAGGCTCAGCTGACGGCACAGGTGTTGCACCACCCCGAGCGGACTCGCAACGCAGCTGTATATAGATGGGAGGCGATTCGTGAACGCCAGAGCTGGAAACATGAAATGTGTAATATCGGCAGTATAATCGTTTATTGAAATAAAAACAAAGTTTTTTTTTTCAAAAAATTGCCATTCCATTCCCGAAAAAACAGAACTCGTTGACGATGCGGTAGCCATTCATAAATACTTCGTATACTTTTGAAACGAACTTGTGTGCGTGTTAGTTATGAATGATTGCGCGTAAAATAAATGAGTTGCCCATAAATCACGCACTTTTTGAGATAATTTCAAATGAATGTATTTAATTAATTACGAGTGATTTTAAATATTTATAATTTTTTACATGACATTATTTATGTGTAGAATTTAATTAAAGAAAATGGATACACTTAGGTTGAGACTAGAACTATAACTTTGTGTAAAACTGTGTCTTGAAATATTAATTTACTATCTATTTATCTACAACACCTGACGGACTGGATATGTGTTGCCAAACATTAAAAAATATGTATTTGAAAAAACGCTAAGGAATGATAACTTGACTTCACGATGAAAAGCCTCATTCATGAAACAGCAGAAACTAACACTACAGCAATTGAGCTTATTAAAATGTTCCTGTAAGCATATCCAAGAATGGCTGGACCAATTCGGCAAATTCATTCTTTTGTATGTTTCTTAAAGTCCACGGAAGGTTTTAATACTTTAAAAAGAAAGAAGAACGAACGAAATGTGATAATGGCTTACCGCCATCTTCCAAATAGCGCGGGTATCGGTGATGAAGCAGCATTCTCGTTACCCGCACTAGACCTTCTAGATGCTCCTGATGGTAGAACGCATTGTACTCGTCCAATCTGTAAATATAGTATTATGCGTAATTATTACGAAGGCGAATCATATTGCGGAATTGAGTGAAATAGTTGTGAATTCTGAAAGAAGCCATAGACGAACAAATTTTGAGATACACCCAAGAAAGATGGCGTAATTAGTACCCGCAGCCAAATACTATATACAGCGTGTCGTTACCATCGCGACAATAAATGAACACACGTCTAACGCTACTTGCCAATAATTATAAAAAAATATTACCATTAAACAAAATCCATAATTAAAAAAAAAAATATTTTTCAAACAAACTAATTAAGTAAAAAAGAAACAAAATTTGTAACATCCTATACAACTCGCGCCACAGCGTCGCATTACAAGCCTCTCCTTCTAACAGTATGTTTTGTCTCTTTTAAATTCATTCAACCCATTCATATGCTTTGTGACCTTTACAAATAAACTTTACGTTAGTTTTTTTTTTTTTTTTATGGGAATAGTTTTATAAGTAAGGGTGTTCTAAATTTGTTTGTTTTGGAAAATTTAATAACTCGAAAATTAAATTTTAATAATAAATTAAAATTTAATAAATTTAGTAACGACACGCTGTATAGGTAGAGGAGAATAAATTTTAAATAGACAAAAGATGTTTGTAATCAATGTCTATACATAATTTAGATTGCCAATATCTGCTCTCGTCTAACCTATTAATATATATCAGGGCAATATTACCTTGAACCCAATAATATAATATTATAATAAAAGGTCAGTTGCAATCTGGACGGAAATGCCAGGTAATGCGTAATTTGAAATACACCTACAGAGGATTGCACTGTATGCTCTTCAGTATGGTGAGAGGAGGCATTGCCTATCTTGGGAAAGTTTTGGCACTGATTAGTTCTGTTGGAGATCTTGTGGCCCATAGACATGTCACACCTTTAGACAAATCGTTACTAAACGAAAATATATTTTACAAAGAAGCTTAAATAAAAAAATACACCACTTTTTTTGCAATACATTAAGGTCATGGTGCTTTGAGCCATTTGAAGACAAAATTATTTATATTTATTTACACTATTACATTCAATTAAGAAAAGTTTTTTTTAATAAAACAATGTTAATACATATATTATAATTTTTAATTTTTATAGTAACACTTAATTACAAAAAATTAATAAAAAATAACCTAATTAATAAAAAAAATTATTAAAAATATTTTATAACACTATCAAATTCAAAATAATGTAGTTAGCATTCCTTTTAATTGTTACTGCACAGATAAACAAAATAAAACATTCTAATCAATGTTTTATTCTAATTCAAAATCCATACTTTTTACTTAATTTGCTATTTTTTTTTCTTTAAGCTCCTGTATAAATATATATTTTCGTTTAGTGACGGTTTATCTTTAAAGGTGCATGTGTATATGCATAGGGTGTGATTGGAGATTACCATATAAAAATAATAGGATGCCAACAATATAGGATCAGAAAAATAAATCATCATACATAAAAGAGTTTATCGCCAAGAATACAAATGGTGCAATAAAAGGCTTATCAGTTAATGGACTTTAGATAGCATGTGCGATAAAGGATCATGGTATAGTTGCTTACTGGAAAAAAAATAATTTATTTCATTCATATCAGTTTTATAGATGCACTATAAAACTAAATAAAACATTTGTTTTATTTATTGATAGAATCATAGTTATGCCCAAGAATCATTACAGAACGGAAATATAGCAATAATAGGCCCATATTTTAACTATGTATTGATAAAACGTAATAATCATAAACTCAATTACTGATTTTTAATTGGTGGGACTTCAGAAGTGCTTATCAAAACAATCATTAATTTACACTGCCTGTTTATTTCAACACTGCTTGTTTAAAATACAACTATATTATAAAAATGTTAAAATAATAATAATGAACAAAATATATAATAAAATTTATTTGGAAACAGCTATTTGACCTAGTTTCGAATTTTGTTTCACATTTCATTTCTCTTGTTCATATTTAACATTATTTTACCCAACATAAAGGATAATATTTGATCTTCATGCTGAATTAATTACAGTGCATTGTGTATCAAATCAAATATCAACATCTGTTTCCTGAGTAAACAATGAATTATTATTACTATTAGGTTACACAAAACTACGCATTTTTATAAATGTTTATTTTTTATTTTGGTTCATTTGTTAGTAGTTTTGTTTAAATAAAGAAACAATTTAGTTAAATTAAATATATAATTATAAATACAAATAATAATTATGAAAAATTTTTGGATTACCCTTTGTCTGAGTGTATTCAAAATTTTAAAACCCTATGGAAAAGGTAAAAAGTATTTGTTTTAAAAAATGTGTTGACATATTTTTTTCATATGGCTTCACTCTACTTTGTTGTTATCTCATTTTCATGGGAGTAATTTGAAAATGCTTTAAGATAAGACATTTTTAAAAATGAAGGCAAAATAATCTTAATTCATAAATGATTCATGGCGCCTATCTATAATGCTGACATGAAAATTGTATTTTAGACAACTGTGTCCTATGCTCATTTTCAAGGCAAAACTGATAGTGTAAGCGTAAATGTTAGTTAAATGCAATTAGCTAATCCATAATTCATGATTCCTGAAGTTTAAAATCAGATTATCTTTAACAGCCCTAACAGTGTTAATGACTTGATAACTAGTGAGGCATTTACAAGAATGTTTAAAAATAATGATAATAGCAAGTTTCAGTCTTTGGTACTACTTAGAATTTTAAGTAACTATTGGAATTTTTAGTTATCTTATTTAGACCAAAAGCAGGGTAATATTTTGAAACGAGTCGCCTTTGTAGGGGGTCAGGGGATGGGTGGGGGGAGGGTGATGTGGTGAGTGAATTACATTGCATTTCAAGTTTCGTAAGATTTTTAAATTTAAAAAATAGGTAATTAAATTTTTTACACGCGTCCGGCAGAAGAACATGCGTTAGAATGCTTGGTACTAACCTCCTTAACCCCCCCAAAATTACAATGTACTTGAATTCGGTTGATTCAAAACCCAACCCTAAAATCATATAACTCAGCTATTATCATAATTTTAACAACTGCTAGCGAATAAATTGAATGTGCTAAAGTTATAGGTTTTTTAACAATGCTGCTTTATACCCTATGTACAGAGGAGGCCTTTGCAGCAGTGGGACATGAATAGGCTGATACTTTACTATTACTATACTTTACTACTTAATGTGCCAGGTTGTATAGTGTAGTCATAAAGTAAATAACATATTATACTACTCCTACCTGAACATATGGGCCATCCAACGTGAAGTTTCACTCGCCACATGAGCTCCCAAACGAATGGCATGACTTCTTTCTAGTCTGGCAAATAATGCAGATATGCTATGAGATAGAATAGCAGCTCGTGTCACAGCGTCAGTAGGTAATAAAGGAGGTTCCACACTTTCACAGTTAGGGTCCGTCTTAATAACCAACTCCTCTAAAACTTTGAGAATCTCGTCCATAGAACTTTCTTCAGGTTCAAAGAATTCGACACTCGGTTTCCGTGGCTCTGGTTTTTTTTCTTCCTCGGCATCTTGAGCATTGACAACAGCTTCTAATCGTCCAACTACTTCAGATACTTGAAACTCCAACCCGCCAAAGGGACGCCGGTCCTGATAACAAAGTCATTAGTAGGCATCGTTTTTCAATTGTTCAACCGGATGTGTTATAAAATATTTACCAGTTCCGTGTGATTCACAGCTTTTGGGCTGCTTTTGCTGGACTCAATTTTTGAACCTGGCGTGTCTCCCATTCTGCAAATCTGCGTGGCGAATTTTTCGCAGTTTACGACACAAAAAAATTGTAAACGTCACATCAATGTTTTGACGTATATAGCGGTAGAACAGACTATCAAATTATCATTTGGATAAACTTGTTGGATTTATGAATGACTGAGGACAGATCTGTTTTAACCGGGTGTTAGGAAAAAAAAAATAAACAAAATTAATTCATATGATTGGTTTAATCAGCCTAATCCCACAAAAGTTAAAATTATTCGTCATTTTCATAACAGCTGTTTTAATCCACTGCTGGTCATAAATAGGCATTTACATCCCCATAGACATCCACGACGTGCGATCCTGAGCCACTTGCTAATCTTCTGAGCTAAGTCGGTTCTACTGCGGATGCCTTTGTTACGAACTCTATCGCTCACATTATACAAAACATTGAATACTTAGTAATTAATTATTAATAAAATATAATTTTAGAAGTCGTTTGTAGTTCCGTACAAATTTTTGAGTTAAATCTCATTGACACATTTAAACTTGGTTTAACATGAGCCGAGATAGCTCAGTGTCCGGGCGCTCGTCTTTAAGTATACTCGAGCAACCTGAGTTCGATCCTCAGTGCCAGCACAAATGAAATTGTTATTTTAAGTGCAGACTTATCAAGTGCTCAGCGGTGTAGGAAAACATCGTGAGGAAACCTACATATTTTCGAAATAATAATAATAAAAAAAACAATTTAGAAGATATGTGAAGTCCATGTATGGGATGTTTTAACTGTGGTAGGGCCACGCAGCAGCCTCGGGTGGGCAGGCTCGTCCGGGTAAGTACTACGACCTCATAGAAGATCAGCGTAAAGTGGAAGTCTAATACTTTCGTGTGTCGTCTTGTGAGTGAGGTAGCCGTAGCCCAATTTTCAAACGCCATTTGTCAGCGCAAATGCAACCCTCGAGTGTAGCAGATGACCATGTGTGGCGGTATTCACTTAACATCAGGTGAACCGCCTGCTCGCATGGCAACTTGTTACAATAAAAACAAGTGCGAGTTGAACTCGCATACGAAGGGTTCCGTAACATTATCTGTAAAAACGGCAATAAAATCATGTCTGTTGTCATGATTTACTTTAATATTTTTTTATTCCGTTTTTTAGTTTTTGTTGTTATAGCGGCAACAGAAATACATCATCTGTGAAAATTTATAAATCTTTTTCTCGAGGACTCGAGATTGATTCGGCAATGTGGATGACCAATTTGGAACTTTGTATTTTTAACAAATACGTTAAAAAATCGTCGTAAAACTTTTTCTTATATATTTCTTCTACTGCTCTCTTGTTTCCTAGAGTCCTTTTCAGGGTTTCCTAATTAACTTCATTTTACGCCACAGGTTCACTATGTCAAAATGGTTAGTTTTAACGGGTTTAACTAAATTTTGTTATGAGAGAATATTCGGAACGTATGCTTATTTTGACATTTAATCTGACAGCCAAGACAACGAAAAATTGACGTTTCAGCGACTTCAGTGAAAGTCCTGAGGCATTTTAAAATTCTTGAAATATGTCTCTAGCAAAAATATTTTCTGTAACAACACGGGGTAAAATATCATTTAGTGTAATTATTTATCGCTTAAATTTACTCTCAGTAATTTTTATTGTTATTAAAATTTTAACAAGTTACGCAACTTTTGTTTATAACCTATTTAATTGCGTCTTGTTTTTAAAATTAGCTTTATAGGAAATCAAGTTCGCTTTATTCTGTCTTTGTAACTTATTTAGTTTCAGATATTGAAAAACTATTGTTACAGTTCGTACCCATGGAGCAAATGGGATATTATCCCGTTTTGCCCAATACAGCTCATCAAATCAAGAGGGTAATGTAGAAAAGATTTATCCACCTAATGTGCCCGGATATAAGTATGTCAATGCTGAAGAACTAGACATGTCTTTTAAAGAAATGTCAAACAGGGCCGCTCAAACCTTGTTTTGGACTGAATTGGCACGTGGTTTTGCTGTTACCCTAGCTCACATTTTTAAGGTAAATTAAAAATAACGTATCCTATCAAAGGAACAAATTTGGATTTTTTTTGTTTAGTTAATAATAAATTAGTTAATAATTAAGTAAAATGGCACAAGTATAACCTGTTTTTCAGACTCTTCATCATCATTTCAGCCTGTTTAAGTCCACTGCTGAACGTAGCCCTCCCCCATAGACTGTCAAGAAGCACAATCCTGAGCCACCAACATCCATTGCCTTCCCACACATTTGCACAGGTTATCACTTCATCAAGTGGGGGGGTCGTTCCACACTGTGATATCCAGTGCCAGTACGAGGCTGCCTCTTGAGAAAGACTATAAATATTTATACATTTATTTCCAAAACTTTTTTAATTAAAATGTAATATTTTAGGAGCCAGCAACAATTAACTATCCATTTGAGAAAGGACCTTTATCACCTAGATTCAGAGGGGAACATGCTTTACGTAGGTATCCATCTGGAGAAGAAAGATGCATTGCTTGTAAACTTTGTGAAGCCATTTGTCCTGCTCAGGTATGTTAAAACATGAATGCTTTATGCATCATATTATTATTATTTAATAAAAATATTGTCATTTTTAAAACACATTGACATATATATTGCCTTTTTAGTATTGGTATTTCCATTTCATATAAAATAAAGTTTCATAAATTCATTTTATATGCATAAATTATTTATTTTTATTACTAAGAAATCAGATCATATTTGTACAATTTTACATTAATAAAGTGTGTAGGTTTTCTAAAGCTACCACAGCTTTCTATAACACAATTATATAAGACATTGCAATGTGTAGAAATTATTTATTGAATGTCATTTTTATTTTAACTTGACTTAATGTATGCACACATTGCTCCATATCCTGTATCTTGTTCTTTATGTCAGAATTTTTATATTACAAATCCCTACCATGCCTTTGGCATTTTTCTTTTAATTTATATATTTGTTTTATTAATCTTTATGAAATTTTGTTACAGGCTATCACCATAGAGGCTGAGGAACGTAAGGATGGTTCACGACGAACTACTCGTTACGATATTGACATGACCAAGTGCATCTATTGTGGTTTCTGTCAGGTACTACCATTATACATCTATATATAATAATTTAAGGAAGGATGAACATAATTTTAAGAAAGTAATCTAACTTTAATGGCACTAAATTTAAAAGATTTTCCATTGGATTTAGTGCTTTGCCTCTTGCACTGTGTACATTCAAATTGTAAATGTGCACTTTATATTGATAAAGACTTTTTTTTTATTTGATATTACAAATATATGTACTGGCAAAACAAATATTCTTAAGAGTAATTTTTTTTATAAAAGAAAATAGTTTTTGTGTCACACTTAGAATAGAATTCTTAGCACAGTGTAGCATGCACACTTTCTTTTAGCTTATATTGGCTATTTACTTTTAGTATTTGCAAATGTTTTTGTATATTTGTTTAATATGTCCCATATGATACAAATTTATGTATTTAATTTAAAAAAAATTACACAAATTTTGTTTAGGATTACTCATTGATGTTAATACTTGTTTTTTATTTCTACCTAAACTTTCTACTGAATCATATAACATTTTAATTTTATCAGTTTGTCAAAAGGAATGTGTCAATCCCCAATTTTTTAAATGTATATTATTTACAGGAAGCATGCCCAGTTGATGCTATAGTTGAAGGTCCCAATTTTGAGTACTCTACTGAAACTCATGAAGAACTCCTCTACAATAAAGAGAAACTGTTGTTAAACGGCGATAAATGGGAAAGTGAGATAGCAACAAACATAAAAGCAGATCATTTGTACCGTTAAATAAAAAAAAAATTCCTAGTGAAAATATTTTAAGTTCTATTTTGCATCAAACTACTTAATGATTATTGTTTCAAATTCATAATTGGTCCATATTTAAAAAAATAGTATTAGTATAAGTGTTTCTCATTTCAAAGGAAGGTTTTTAGGACATTTTTTAATATAAAACTCATGTTTATTTTTGTGCAAAATAGGTCTTAAAATTAGATGTATAGAATAAATTATTTTTATTTCATAAATAAAAATTTCATCTCATATACAGACTTTTTTATTTAATTGATTTATTATTACAACATACTTAACTTATGTAACACTTATTTATAATTAGTTCATAATTTTTTTTTTAACCCATAATATAATTCTGTGCAATGCATCAAAATGGTTATTGGTTTGAACACATATTTATGAAATAACAAGTTAAAGGCAGCAAATATTTAAACAACAACCAAATTAATCTAAACAATCAAAATAATTTTTCATACAATCAAAACAGATCAAAAAATAATATAAATAAAAAAATTATTGATTTATAACCAATTTGAGTTATGAATAAAAATATAAACAGGTAGCATATTTATATAAAAACTACTTTAGGTACCTACTATAAAATGATTTCAACCATAATATTTATTATCCAAAGTATAAGATGTACCACATTATTTTTTATTTCTATTGGTTTTAATAATAATATTTGTCAGTAATAAACATGGTTATTTAATACACAATCATTTTTTTAATATATTTTGTTTATCCTATATAAAAAATGAGTACAGTTATCACTGCATTTTATATGTAAAAGTCAGTTTGTATGATTACCCCCAAGAATTTTGTAGGAGTAACGCTCCAAATCCTCTTTAACGCAGTTTAAATTTCGGTCTGCATCTATAGTAATGACTTCACAACCTACATCAACAGAATTAAGCCAGTTTTCATATGATTCATGTACCTGCAAATCAAAGTTTGTAACTTATCATTGTTGCAACTATAAGAATTTTAAAATCTGTGAATAAACCTGTATATGTCCAAAAATTATTTCTTGTAATTGACACTGATATTGAACAGAAAATTAATTAGGTAAATAAGCAACATAAGAACTATACCTGTTTTAAATATTCTAAAGGCACTTCAGACTCCTCAGCTCTGCCCCTCTTCATCATGCGTTCCCATACAACCTGTGGTGTAGTTTTTAGATATACTGTAACAAAAGCAATTAATTTAAACTGGTTTAATGTCACAAGCCCCCTTAATGGTTGAAAATGTAAGCTATGGAATTTAGGGTGTGCAAGTGAATGATAAAGAGTAAAGATACTTCAGGTATAATAATAAGACTGGCAATATGACATTGAGGTGATAAATGTACCCATCAACACAGCATGTATGCATAATATCGAAGAAATGAGCAAGGTGTGTAAGGAAGGAAGGTGCATGAATGTTGAGAAACTACTTCTACCATGTTTTTATGTAATAACTTATTTAAAAAAAATTATGAATGCTATGTAAATAACTCATAGACTTATATAGAAAACATAATTGAAAAAATAAAGTAATGGGCACAAATGCGAGTCATTTTTTAATCTATTGTGCATAGATTAAAAAATAAATAAATATAGATTTTTGGCTCATATTGTGCCTCAAAATGACCTCAGTAAAATTGCCATTACACTTTGTTTAAAACAAGATTGATGCCTCCAAAGTAGATTTGCTGTGAAAAGCCAGCTTTATAGGAGATTATTTTAATTCAGAGGCCTGTGCTCAGCGTTGGACATATAATTATGTGCCTGTTACTTTACTGATGCAAACTTAGGAAGCAAATTTTTTATAAATAAAACAAGATTCTGATAACTTCAAAGTTTTTGATATACCATATTAAATTTGTATATTTTTACCATATGTATAATTTTTTATCAACAGCTTTAAAACTGTTAGAAATATGAATTAAAATAACTTTAAAATGCTGTTAAATTAAATTTTACCTATTAAATCTAAACTGATGTCAAGAGATTTTTCAGTATAGTCAAACCAATCGAGTAGTACTTGATATTCTGCATCAAGAAGGAAGTTCTGCTTTTTTGCATTTTCTACAAAACAGTACCTGCTGTTTTGTACTGATCTGCAAAGACAGAAAAGATTATAGATGTAATGCAACATGTAATAAAATGTGCAGATAAATTGTCGAAAAATATACCACAACTCTAATGATTTGAATCTGTGCCTTCAGGGTAGTGCACCCCTACTTGTACCACTAAGGTATAACATTACCCTGCAAAGATCTCTATTGCCTATCTACTTTGTTTTTATTGCATTTTTAACAATGTTAGATATATAGATATTTTATTGTTATTTTAGTGCTATTAGTATTCAAGATGATATTTAAAATGTATAGATGGATATCAAATTTTTTTTCTAAATGAATTACCTTTCAAACATCTTAACTGTTATATTTGGATTTGAAGGTGGGCTTGTTTGTATCTTTAGTCTACTTAGATGCACATAATGTTGGAAGGCAAAACTCCATTGGTTCATGTTACTATAGAGAAGGCCCAGTAAGTTGTGGCCACTGACATTCCTCCACTCTTGAATTGGTTCCTGAAACATGCAAGCAATCAAAATGTATGAGATACAAAACAATAGACGCAGGTATTACTTTTAAAAATTGCTCTACCTTACATGGACATTATTGGCGAATATCATTTTTGTTACAACTGTATTGGTAGTAATAACCGGTGCTTGTTATGTGATTAATTTTATTACGTGAGAGGGTGGTAACCGAGCTGGCGGTTCACCTGATGTTAAGTTATAACCGCTGACTAAAAAAGTACACTAGAACACCGGTAGGGTTGCAGATGCGTTGCCGCTGTTAGTTTAAGTAAATGCTGCTGTTAGAAATATTGTAAGGTATTATATTATTCGATTATTTATATAGACTTACCGCATGTTTTTCAACATTATGAAATTTGTCAAAATACTTAATACAAGTCGATTTCCCAGAGCCAATGTTACCTTCTATTGAAACTCTAAAAGGTCTTTTATTAGCTGCACGAATTGTATGTGTCACAGTAGTAACTTTGGACATTTTTTTAATCACGGTTAGTGTATATTGCGTCGGCAGTTTTAATTAAAAAAAAATTAAGCTTTAATTTTTTTATGTTTTTATATGAAATATCTTTATTATTTACAATATTTGTTGATAAAAACATAATATCAGCATAGGCAGCATATGACAGATTTAGAATTTCCAAAAATTTGCGGGAAAACTTATGTCAATGTCAAAAATTACCACAGATGGCAGATTCTTCTTAAATATTAGATTAAATTATGCATACATAATAATACTATTATGTTATAATTAAGTAATAATATTTTAGTGTTTTTGAAATTATACTTCTTATGACGGGTTTAGAAAAAGTTATGAGATTAAAATTTATGATGCGCGCGAACCCGCACACTGATAGTCAGTCGGACGCCGATATGATGAAGATAGTTGCAAAACGACCAACTTCGAACAATTTTGCGATATTACTATAGCAAATGATACTAACTTTATGACATTTAACTATAATTCCTAGATATATAGTTAATTTGGATGACTGATGATATATACAGCGTGTCTTTACAATCGCGACAATAAATGAACACACATATAGGGTATAACTTTTTAAAATTGTATTAAACATTTACAGTCTTTAAACATCAATATTTACAGAGTTATTAAATTTTCCAAAACAAAGAATTTTAGAACAACCTTACGTATAAAACTGTAACGTAAAGTTCATTTGTGAAGGTCACAAAGCATATGAATTGGTTGAATGAATTTAAAAGAGACAAAACATACTGTTAGAAGGAGAGGCTTGTAATGCGACGCTGGCGCGAGTCGTATAGGATGTCACAAGTTTTGTTTCTTTTTTATTGAAAAATTTTTTTTATTGAAAAAATTTTTGTTTGAAAAATATATTTTTTAATTATAGATTTTGTTTAACGTTAATTTTTTTTTGATTATTGGCAAGAAGCTTTAGACGTGTATTCATTTATTGTCGCGATGGTAACTACACGCTGTATATTAAAAATGACCTGGCACATGAGGATATTTTTTGGCGAATAGGCTGAGAACATGAAAATATGTTTATTACTTGCTTAAACTTTTTTACTGGCGTATCTGTAAACAAAAGAACAAAATACTACGTTAGTAACAACGGTTGTGGTATATTATGATTGAAAGATTAAGCGCGGTGATGTATTGTCAATAATTCTCTTGTTTGGGCCTCTATAAATAAATGAATATTTCCGGACACGTTTTTACACCTGTTACATGTTATCATTAACTTTATCCTTTATAGGACTTTGCTTAGGTTGAAACTAGCGAACATACTTTTATTTCAAAGATAATAAACATAGTTTCATTTTGTAAATAAATACCTATTACAGATATATCGAGACCCAGACGCTGAAAAAACACTATGTTCATCCCATAATATTTTATGTTATGAACATTACACTATGTAAGTTGAAAAAGCAAAGTAGATGAAATTTAAAAAGAATAAAATTTCCACCGGCGTCGTTTAGCTTATAAAGCTCGGGTTTGATTCCCGCGGCGGCGAAAAACGTGTTTTTTTCATTTTTCTACAAATTTTAATGTTTTATCGTAAGCGCAGATATTAGCATTACAAAATTTAATTTCAATAGCAAACGCGACATCCCTGATTCGAATTATCGTTACTTAAAATTGATGCCGCAACCCATGAATAGTATAGAATAAAACATATTAAACTACTATTGTTACAGAAAATTATAACGTGAAAAACTTCACGCCGAACATATTTGTGATATCTGATGAACATCAACGCATTGACGCATAAACACTTTATATTTAAATTACGAATACTTAAAAAAAAAGATGTTATACTAAAGATGATACCTGCGTATATCATAATAAAAACATTCAGCTACATTTTTCGGCGTCGTCTAAAGGAGTCTTTAGATAAGCCCGGTGGCGTTCCGAGTTCTCATTTATATTGACATTAAATAAAAAATGCTATCCATTTTGCCTTGACATAAATCTTTTCATGACAAAAGCGTAAAAAGGTCTGGCGCCATTTCTAGTTCTTCCTTTGAAAGGAAATATTATATCATTATAATTTATTCATATTTATTCTTATTATATCACCAAAATAACTATAAAAGCTTACTGTTTAAATCGGCGCGTTCGCAACATATTAAAGATCAAACATTCTTATTATTCTAATTAAACAAAACCACAGGAGAGTGCATAGATACATAAAGTATCTCGAACAACTAAACACAGTATTACAAATTTAAAAAATTGTGTTACATGTCATGTCCTGGTTATGCAAATAAAGCACAGTAGAACAATTCATCAATACGTAAGTAAAAGGCATATGCTTTAATTTCGAATGCTACACAGTATTGTAATCAGAATTTGTTGGATGTTGCTTTCCCGAAAGAATATAACAGAAGACCATAAAGTCATTAGAGTTTTTACAAATTTAATAATAAGCTTAAAAATATTAGCAGTTACACTGTTATATTTATTTATTAAGTTCTTCTGCTACAGTGGAATGGCAAAACATATAATCACGAGGGCGCTTTTGATATAATTATTTTTAATGTAAACTCATGTAGCGTAGCAAGTAAATTAAGTAAGCACACGGCAAGATTACTTGCCATTAACCTAGTTAACTATAAACGACGACATAACGGATGAATAAATCGACGGAGATGAACATAAGCTCTCTGATTATCTCTGATTACAAAGGGAATGTTTTTAATTCGCGAGTGAAAATCTGTCCGCGCCACGTACGTACCAAAGTAAGTTGTAGAAACAGTGGACACACGAAATTACTACTCGGTTTTCGTTGTTGTTCGTAATTTAAAAGTTAGAACTCGTTTACAAAGCTGTACGCTGACGCAAAGCTAGAATTTATATTATGCAATATTTGACAATGTTACCCCTTGATTATTTAGTTAAGTTATAGTTTGAGACTTTAATATCTACTCGTACGTATATGCGTGTAGTCTGAAACTGTCTTACTATCTACTCAGACTCACAAGTAAAATAAAAATCATAAAAAATTAATATGCATAATTATAAGAGTTTTAATCACTTTTAAAATCTTTATTTTAATAAAATAGCCTAAAAAGGAAAAAAAAACAAACTTAGAAACACATTTAACACAATGGAAAATCTTGGGACAAGCTTTTATGATTTATACAATTAATTGATGTAAAAATGGATTTAAAAATTAGTGTAAAAGAACACTTAATTATATTTTTCAGGAAACGCACATCTATTGTCAAATATCAGTAGAGTCGGTTATTTTTTCTAATTTGTATAACAGCCATTTTTCATTTAACTACACCATTTTTCAGTTCATTTAAGTGTACTCGTATTGTCATCAAGACTGAACAAGCATCCAAAATTTCATTATAGGTTTAAGAATCTAATTCAAATTCAGTTCCCAAGATTTTTCCTAACCAAACTAACACATATTGCAGTTTAATAAGAAGAAAAATCTACTTGTATATTTTTGTTATATATGTGTATATATTTTTTTAAAGTTTTATTTCCAAGGACATCAAAATAGCAATACACGAGATTGCGATTCGAACGTTGAAAATATTTTATATTCCTCCAAAATAGATTCCGCGTTGCCTGTCTTGCAGAAAATAGCACTGCTATGGAAATAACTAAAATTTATTTGCATAAATTCTGTGTTACATCGAAATATATGTTGCTAGAAATTGATGCTGTACTGATTCTAATATAAAACTTTGAGTTGGGTTTTAGTTTGTTTAAAAAAAATCTTAGTACGAGAGAACCGACTTCACGGTCTATAAAAAAAAAACAACACACAAATGGGAAATTGGAGAAAAACGGAACCCTTTACCCTATTCTTTGCTAGTGACTATACTTTAAAAAAATAATCCTAAATTATTAATAATATTCCTTGGAAAGGTGGTAGAGGGCGACGTATGTATCTGATCTATTATTATGCATATACATATATACAGTGTGTCTATGGACTAACCGTCAAAAGTGGTGAAAAAGTCACAAAAACTGACTGTTAATAGAAATAGCCAAGGACAAATTGCCTTCCGTTCTACTGCAGTAGTCAAAATATTCTTATTATCCTGCTCAAAAATAATGGAACGTGCGATAACCCTGCAAACTGGGTATGGAGTAGGTGTACAAATCTTATTTAAATTCTTAGTGAGTTTACTAAAGCTGGTAAAAGAAATTATTTGGATCAATGATGTGCCATATACTGCGTGGCTTTAAAAATTTTTCAGCTTTACGTTATATAACATATTATATAAGTGAATGTGACAGATGGTATAATGGTTGATAGAACATATGATACGGAAAGAGATAACAGTCTATAGAATTACACCAATGGGTGTGCCTCAGTTTCGGTGCGCTAATGTCATATCTAAAGTATAAAGTCTCAGCCTATACATGTCCCACTGCTGGGCAAAGGCCTCCTTTGAACAGAGGGTATCAGCGCATAGTCCACCACGCGGCTCAACTGTGGATTGGCGGACTTCACATATCTTCGAAATTTTTTTTTGTTATATGTATGGTATAATGCAGGTATGCAGGTTTCCTCACGAGTTTTTCCTTCACCGCTGAACATGTGATAATTCAGCACTTAAAATTGACAATTTCAATTGGTGCTGGCACCGGGCATCGAACTCAGGTTGCTCGAGATATTAAATTAAAGGCGAGCGCCCGGACACTGAACTATCACGGTTCTCATAGTGTCATATCTATTGTACATAATGTCATTGATTGGGATGTTGTATCTACATACAACATCCCAATCAAGCTTACGCGTATCATCACATGTACCGTAATGGTGGTGGAGAGTTAATTTCTCAAATTGTTATATTTTCGAGCACTCATTTCAAATACATACTTATGTTACATTGAGCCTCTGAAGGAATTTTTGGTCTTGCTAGAGTATTAGGACGGTGTAATGAGACGACATTCATTACGCTTACGAATCAATTCATTAAATTGGCTAAAACTACAAAGTCCTGTTCCTGCGTCTTGTCACT